GTCCCCAGGCAGTGCCTAAAACTTTTGCCGACTTGGTCGTGGCGTTGTCGCATCAAGTCCTCGCCCGCCCTTCGCTCATGGCATGCGGCGCATTTTATGGGCATTCATTTTGTATTTAGGTCAGTTACGCCGCTCCCCCCATCCCCAGCCCCCCACAATCTGGAAATCATCGCCTGCTCCTTCGCGTCTTCGCATCTTCATGCGGTTTTTACATAATGATTGCTTGTGTTTGCTCTGCCAAACCAATTTGCCGAGCATAATCAAAGCACATCCCAACACTGTCTGAACACTAAACTATGTTTTCGGACGGGAGACCGGGGAATGGGGGTCATTGTGGCTGTGGTTGTGGCTGTGGCGCACGCGGCGTATGCGCAATATTTATTTTTAGCAAATTATTTAACGACTTGTGCCTCGCACTTCTGTGCTTGTTTTATGACTCCCCGTCTCCCCCTCCCTCGTTCACTCGTTCAGTTTAAGCGCAATTAAGTTTTATGCGGCAAACCAGTCCGTCCGACACACGCATTTAGAGGCAAGCCACCAATCCCCGATCCCCGATCACCAACCCCATAACCCAGCAGTTCAATCAACTGGTGAAGAAATATAGTTGTCTGTGCAACTATCCTCCTCATTATGGAATTTTTTGTAATGATTTTTTCTAAAGAGTCTTAGCATCTAGTTCATTGAAATTTGATTCAAATGCAAGTATTTTAAGATCATTTTCTTTTCAAAATATAATTTCTTTAAATGCAAGCAAAAACACACTCTAATGTTCGCACTCTATTTAAGGGCGAACAGTACGAACTCTATCAAAGGCAGGTGTGTCAGAAATCAAAGTAAATAAAAATCTCTTTAATATTTAATTGAAATAGAAGAACTAAGAAGTAAATGACAATTGCACGAGTAATACTTATTATATAAGAACTAACTAAAATAAAATTAGAATGCAGATGCACGATATTTGTTTATATTTATATTTATTTATTTATGTTTATGTCAACAAACATTGACATTGTCGACAATGGAGAACAATATACTTATAAAAATTATAAGAAGAATCTTATAAGCTTGCCTAAGTAGGAGAAATTTAAAACAAATTACAATAATATCTAACGCCTCCGCCCCGGTGTTTTTGTTATTTTTTGAACTGCGGGGTGGTCCATTGGAGATGGCCAGTAACTACTCCAAAAGGTAACTAGTTCCACAAACAGTTCCATGCAGTTGCAAGCGGCTTCTTCGTGGACTGCAGGTCAGTTCCTGATGGGCACATCATCTACTGGGCTGCCTCGTGCGGGTCTGATTTATGTGGCGTTGCCAGCGTCCCAATGCAAAAATTTATTTCTGAGCATGCGAAATTAGATTACACATTCAGATACACACTCACATACACTGCCATTGACACAGTCAGTTAGTTGTCTCGGCCTTACGAACGCTCTGCGTCTTCCTCTTTGTTGCAATGAACAATGAACAATGAAATTTATTTGATTTGCGGCAGAACATAATAAACCAGCAAGAGGGAATGATTCATGGCCGCATTTAGAGGAGAGCGTCAGAGCGGGGCATGCATTTATTAATATATTCATTTATATGCATTGTATCATGCTGGGGGGAGCAGGTTTTTAATTGTGGGCGAGGCGGAAGTCGCCACTCAGCTCTCGGGTCTCGGGTCTCGATTCCTCAATTATGCAATCCCAGAGGCCACTTGTGAAAAATTCTCTAGTCATAGTCATAGCCATAGCCACAGCTATGGCGAAAATGATTTTAAATGCATGTGTTGAAATGAGATTTGCTTTGAGGCGAATGCCGCCGATGCCAACAAGAAGTCGTCAGTTGCAGCCAAAATCTTTATGGCCGCTATATACACTCTGTAAAAATCCAATTTGTCAACAGTTGGGCTTAAATTGTCTGCAGCCTTACGGAAAACTTATCTATAAGTGTCTGTCTATCTATCTGTCTGTCTATGTTTACGTATATTTCTATAATTTTTTGTTCTTAATATTTATCTGTCGACGTCAGAGAGCGCGCGAATTTCTAATAACTGCAAGTTAGCGGCGCACAGATATATGGCAGCAACAACAACAAAAACAACTGAACGAGTGAGCAGTGCTGTTGCTTTTGTTTCCTGGAATTGGAAAACGCAACAGAATTTGTAATGCGATACAAGCATATAACTACATACATATATTTATTCACGGTTATAAAATACACACTGCTGGTCAGAAAAATATGCCTTAAGTATGAAAGGCAAATCTTAACCCCGAGAATAATTTCATGTCTTATTATAATTTAAAGGAAAGTTAGAATATGCCAACCAATATACACCTCTTCAGACAAATGTATTATTATTATATTTGAATCGAGTTATAGGTGTTGACGAACGCTTTGCAGCACTAAAATATTTGTGCAATGTTTACTAACTCAGGCATGCTTTTGCTTCACACATTAGTATTACAGCGACTGGAGTCCATTATTAACACTAAGTGGCAATAAACCTAAATGACAATTTGAAGGCATTGGCGTTATATTCTTTATCTTTCATAATCAATAGGGAAGACGCATAAAATGTTCAGAGAATTTGCTGTAGAAGGTGCTCCGCATATTTAAAGATGTGTTGCAGATTCTAAAATAAGGTCAAATGAAGAATTCAAATGAAATGATGTTAAAAAAAAAATCTTTTTCAGTTTGTTTTAATTCTTTATAAGTACAAGCTTGTTATTCGCATTTTGCTTTTGTTTTTGTGAAGAAGTTTTAGGCACAAACATACTCGTATATATGGGAGAAACCCCTGATCCCAATCTAAACATTTTATTAATTTAATAATAATTTTTTATGTATTTAAAAGTTGTAATTTCCTTTGATTGTTGCCGATATTTGAATTGTTATTTATAGAGATTTTTGTTGTTGCTGCTATCGTAATTAATTCTGTATCTTATTCTTGTCCTAATTATTATTTAATTTAAAATCGCATTTACAAGTAGGCATTCAGACAATAATAATTTTTAACAATTTATTTTATTCAAGTTTTATTTTACCTCTTTTGTTATCATTCTTCATTTTTATTAGTAACGCTTTTGTTAATATTCACACACATTCGTTTTAATTGTTCTCCGAATAAGTAAGCATTCCATTTGCTCCCAATCAAGTGTTTACATGATTGCATTTAGTTTAGAGCCGCACTGCTTGCGTTTATATTACGAGCTTATATAAGTATGTTGTAAGACAATGTAATGGGGCTGAAAGTCCATAGAATGTAGAATGGTGACAAGTTACTTGTCACCCAATTAGACACTTAAGCAGCGCGGCGTCGACTCTCATAATAAATTGAGCATATTAGTAAAGTTTACGGCTTACGCAAAATTAATATCAGTCCTCATCATCATAATCATCATCATCATCATCACCAACAGCAGTCGCAACGTCGCCGCCTCAAATGTACGCGCGCACGCACACACACACACACACACACACACACACACACACACACACACACACACACACAGACACGCATGCAGAGCGCATTGTGCGTCTCCTTTTGGCGCGCCACTTGACATCAATTTACAAATTGACAAACATTTGGAAGAGTGTGTTTTTACATAAGCTGCGCTCATCAGCGCCAATAGTGACGCCGACAACAACTACAATATTTGCCTTACATTGCAAATACAAAATTAAAATCTTGCCAGCTGTCTGCATATTTGTATATACATATATGTATGTATGTATGTATGTATGTGTGTCTGTCTGTGAGTCTGTGAGTCAGACTGTAGGTGTATGCCTATCAAGTTTTATATACATATGTAATCATTTGCTTGCTGCAACAATTTGTATAACAATTGCAGCAACAACAACAGCAACACAATAGGGCCACAATATGAAACACATTCATTCATATTGCCCCCGTACTGCTAGTAGTAGCAGTAGTTGTTGCTACGTTTGCTTTTTTCTTCTTTTTTTTTCTTTTATGTTGCGTAATGTTAGGCTACATAATCGCGATTTTTAACAGACGCCGCAGCAGCTGCGCTCAGCCAGTCTCTGTCAGAAACGTGCTCCCTTGTCGCTTAACAGTGCAAGAGAAACGATAGCAGCACGAACAGCTAAGAGCGCCACTCACTGTTAAAAGCGCGTACATGTTAAGAGTGTTGGCTGTAGAAGCAAATGTTGCGCAACTTTGTTGCTGGCCCAAATGTTGTATTGCAAGTGAGCGGCGGTAAGAAAAATTTGAAAAAGTAAATATTTTTTAAAAACGCTGTCAATAATAATAGAGAACAATTTGCTAATGCCACTAAGCTAAGTGGTTGGCAGCAATATTTAAACTTGAATTAAATTATGAATGTGCTCTAAAAAATGAAACACTTTCTGCTGTTTGCTCGCCATTGGCAGCTGCTAAGCATTCAGGCTGCATTGTCAAATAACACGGCCTGTCCATCAGCTTGACAGCCAGCTAGCCAGCGCCACTTGCCAAAGATTGGTTAGAGGGGGCGACACTGGGGATGGGGAGGGGGTCAGCAAGCGTGCAAACAATCCGACAAGATCAGAGGCAGAAGATCAGAGAGGCAGCCAAGTGATCGACGTCTAAATGGCGCGTGCGGCCAGCTAGAGGGGAACAACAAAAAAACAACTAATTGTCGAATGTGCACCCATGCGGTAGATACATACATACATATGTACATATGTAAATATTTTCAAGATACACACAAACATATGGCTGGGCAAAGTTTTCTTTGGCAAACGCAACAGGACGCTGCTAATTGGCGAGACGGCGAGCGGCGCTGTTCGTTTTTGTTGTTGTGACATTTTCATTTACAGAAAGTGACATTAATTGCACGACTTTGGCGATTTTCACGATGCCGCTGTTAATTGCCGCCCACGCATAATCAACTGGGCGTCTGTTTGTGCGTTCCGTCTCTTAAATAACACTAGTTTCTAGCATTTAGAGTTTGCGTCTAGCTGAGTTGGCCAAACTAACTTCATTCTCTCTCCTCTCTCTTGCACTCTCTTTCCAGCGCCCACGAACTTTAAGAGTCTTTGCCTACGTGCCGAGGTGCTGCTAAAGTTAAGTCACTTCCAAAGCTCTTTGGCGGACATTGAGAATGCGCTGAAGACGCGCTGCACATCGCCCAAGGTGAGTTCCAGTGTTGAGTAACGCACGAGCACAAATAACAAATGGTCTTCTTCTTCTTCCGAACAGGCACACTATTTGCGAGCCTTGGCTTTGAGCGGGCTGGGCCGACTGGAGGAGGCGCTCTATAATGGATTTCTGGCCATTTGTCTCGACAAAACAACAAATCTCAGCAGCTCGGAATTATTTCAACATGATCTCGCCAAGGTGGGTTCACAAAGCCAATAGTATATGCATGTATGTATGTATATACTTGTATGTATGTGGCATAAGTGATTTGAAAATTGCAAATGGAATTAAAAGAGAATGGGTTATATTTGTAAAGGAATTATCAATTATTTTCCTAACTCAATTCTAACTAACTTGCCAATAGGCATTTTTAACGAATTTGTTCAGGGATAAGCGAACTAAACAGCTTTTTAAACCACAGTTTTTTATAGAGTTTAAGAAAAAAGTGCTATTTATTGAGTGCCTAGTAGGGAAAATGCAGGATGTAGGATGGGCTGCGAGTTTTATTTTTATTTTCCCAAAATGTCGAAAACTTTCCACTTTTGAAAAACGAAGAGCCCACGTTTCGAGAACATTTTTTAAAGTTTACAAGAGACTTCTATTCGTAATACAGAAAGCGAACATTCCGCATTGCACTTAAATAGAATCCACTTCACATATTCCAATAAAGGATCGCAAAAGTGTTATCACTATTTCCACAAATCCAGTGTCACTAATATCCCATAAAGTATACATAAACAAAGCCATTATTATAATGCAACTATCCATTTATTTTCCGCACAGATCTTGCAACGACTCTTGGCACAAACGCCCAAAAGTAAAGCGGATGCGTCCGCGCAGCCCCAATCCCGCAGCTACGGCACAAAAATGCCGTATGCGGCCTTTTGGGAGCTGCACATGCGCAAGAAGCAGCACGGGGTGATGGACATCGATGTGGAGGATGAATTCGGTATTAGCTTTGATAAGCCGTACGATGATAACTATATCATGGCCGATGAGGAGAGCGGCCCCCTGCATATGGATGGTGATTTCCTGTTCTCCAGCGCCCTCGACTTCATGGACCAGCACAACGGCTATGATCTGCACAACGCCAAAGAGTTTGACTTGCAGGCGCGGCGGCATGCAACGCGCAAGCATTGCCGACGAAAATGGCCGCAAATCAACGCCGAGCAGCTGCTGCCCGCCATGGAGTCACAGCAGAGCCGGCGATGCAGTCGACTGTTTGGCGTAGTTTTGGAGCGGATACAGCAGGAGCTGCAGAGACTGAAAAGTGAGTGGAAGGGAGAGGGAGCGAGAAACTAGAGAATGTATCAGAAAGCAGTTTATAATAAGCAGAAGTCTCTTCAGCAGTGGGGGATTAGGAGTCAAGAGTTAATATCATTCAAAACAAATGAATTTACTTCCAGCTGCGAGTCAGCTATACTTGTAACATATTAATATATGTATAGGAGCACTTTTATAGATTTCGTCAAACTAAACGATAACTAAGAAAAAATTGGAAGACAATTTATAAAAAATGTAATCTACAAATTAGAGTGTAGAGCAGATAAAATAGGGAAGTAATGCAACAATATATGATTTCAAATAAACTAAGTCTGCATATTGCTTGGACAAGTCCACATACCAAGTTTGGTGTGTCTAGCTGTTATGGTTCAACAGATATAGATGGTCATACAGACAAACAAGTGGACAGACTAACTGATAAACGTCTTATAAATATCAATACTTCCCAGCCCGTTTTATTGTCGATTGAGAAAGAGGTCAGTTGCTTAGATACGTATTCTGCTGTTTGCTGATATTTATAGACGTAGTTGCGAAATGAAGTGAAGGAAGCATTGGCCAAGATGTGTTAGAGGAGTTTTAAGTTATTTGGAGCTGTAAAAGGGACAGACAAAAATATATTCATCAAAGATTGATGTTGCTGGGAAGGGTTTATAGTAATAAGCATCACTCTCCTCCTAGACTCGTACTCATCAGTGTCAATTTAATTTGAAAGTTTAACCAATTTCTATGTTTCCTTTCGATTCATACAGAGCTCGAATCCTCAAAGGATGCGCCGCACAAGCAGCTGACTTCCGTGCAGGGCCAGCAGATCGATGCGAGCGACTTCGACTGCGTGCTGTGCTGTCGGACGCTGTGGAAGCCGGTGGTGACGCCCTGCGGACACACCTACTGTCTGGTATGCTTGGATCGTTGCATGGATTACAACTCCTCGTGTCCATTGTGCATGTCACCACTTGTGGAACTAAATGTCAATAATAATCTGTATCAGGGCTCATCCTCGCCAGTACCCTTTGCGCTGGCCAAGCGGCCAGTTACGAAATTCCTAGAAGCCGCAATGAAACGATTCATTCCAGACCACTACGAGGCGCGCTTTCGTCAGGAAATCGATCAGGAGCCCTCAGTTCCTGTCTTCATATGCACCGCCGCCTTCCCCTCGGTGCCATGCCCCCTCTTTGTCTACGATCCGCGCTACCGCCTAATGGTGCGACGTGCCGTCGAATCGGGTGAGAAAACCTTCGGCATTGTCCAGCCGCACGGCGGCAAGTCGCGTTACTACGATGTGGGCACCATACTGGACATACGGGACTGTGTCCTGCTCGGCGACGGCTGCTCCATACTGAGCACCATTGGCTGCAAGCGCTTCAAGATATTGGCGCGCAGCGAAAAGGACGGCTACGAGACGGCCAAGGTGGAGTACATCTGTGATGAGCCCATAGCCCCAGAGCAGGTGAAGGCAGTCGCCTCCATGCACGCCCAGGTGCTCTGCAAGGCCAGCGGCTGGTTCGAGAGTCTCAGCACCGAGCAGAAGCACGAGATATTGCAGAGCTATGGCGAGATGCCGCCCCTTGAGCCCAACTGGGAGCTCATCACAGACGGACCGGCCTGGGCCTGGTGGATCATAGCGCTGCTGCCCCTCTCGCAGCAACTGAAGGTGAGTTCGAACGTGGTGTACGCCTACTAGTGCCTCCATTAATCCTTCTCTCCATTCCAGGTGGACATTCTAGCCACCACCTCGCTGGAGAAGCGTCTGCGCGCCATAGACAAGACTCTGGACTGGCTGGAGCTGAGTCAGCAACAGCACCAGCAACAGACGCCCCAATCGCCGCAGCAGCAGCCCCACGATCTGTCCCTCGACTGTGAGGAGCAGCGTGTGGCGGTGGAGGGCATCGAGTCCGGTGCTGCGGCGGGCGTCGACGAATGCTGTCTCTATGCCGATGCCAGCGAGCCGCACACCGACGAGGAGCTGCTCCTGTAGTTACCCCACACACTACTCTAGCTTAGCTGTAGTCCTACTATTACCTAGTACTATGATACTGTATCTACTGTAATCTACTGTATCTGTAGCATCGGTGTGTTATATAGTATATACTAAACATGCATACTGCATACATACATACGCATATATGTGAATAGTTCGGTGTCTAAGGCAACTGCAGGGCCACTTGCCATTACATACTACAACTAACTTGTTACTGTTATCCTAGGGGCCAAACCATAAAGAAACTTAGCAGAACCAAATTATTGAATTACAACTATACAACTTAGCTAAAAACCAATTCTAGTACTACTGTGTGTGTAACTCTAACTCTAACTGTAACTATAACTATAACTGTAACTGTAACTGTAGCTGAGTGTGTGTAGTGGTTGAGAATTGTAGCGTAGATTCGTAAGCCCCATTACCATGAACCGTAAATGAAATGCAATCAAAAGTAGTTTGGCAGAACCAGAACCAGAAACACAAAACACAAACCCGTAGTTGAGGCCCAGAACCAACCCATAGAAGAAGAAGAAGAAGAAGGAGCAGTCCTCAAGGCCTATGACACTAGACTGAGAGCGGAACTGAACTGGAATTGAAACGGTTGAACACGGAACTGTCTCTCTTCTGCCTCTGCCTGTGTCTCTCCTCACCACAATGAAGCAACTGTTCTAGTCGAGCGTGGAGCGTGGGAGAGTGGTGTATTATAGGGCCTTCCCTCTTTTTATTTCAGTCCGAGAAATACATTCCAATACAATCTGTTTCAATACGTTTCGAGCTAAGCCTAAGCAGCACAGTATCTCTAACAAGTCAACTCATGGTTTCTGAATGAAAAACAAAAACACAAAAAATGGAAAACGAGAACAAAACCAAAACACACCAATTTTTGAAACATTCAAAATTTTAACATACTTATTACACTTATTAAGCAATTTAAAAACAAAGTACTAAGCCAACACAAAAACAATTTCGTTTTAAAACAAAAGAAAAAGCAGAGGAACCTTTAAACTGATAGCGTCGAGTCTTGGGTTTTCTTTTTGTAAAAAGCGCGGGAACTATATGACAATCTGCAACTAAATTTTTTTATATATAAACCGACTAATATACCTAACTATATATACTATACACATATATATGTATAGTGCATAAAAATCGGACGAGTGTCTAGATGCTAGTTAACACTGTAAAAAGCGAGAAAGCAAACGATTTATATCTGATACGTTTATCAATTATTTAGCCTCGCCCCGCTCTACTAACTTTCTCTCTACGTATCCATATTGTATCTCTATCTCTCTGTAAATTTTGATTAAGCCAACCCCTATATACCTATGCTAATGGTCAATGCTCTTCAGTTAATCTATGTATACGTACTATTTGTATCTACAGTCCGCATTCCTACACAGTTCATATCGTATTTAGTTGTAAAATTCTTTAAGCCTCATGCATATATCATTCGGATTCTCTAAAGCGAATACATTTTTAGACTAATATTTGCTTTACGCACCTCTCAGTCATTGTACATAAAAGATATATAAACACCACACACACACATACTATATATATATATATATATATATATACTTAGTATATTTCTAAATTTATATTAAATACGAATTTAGTTTACACACGCAACTCATCAGATGAAGCAAAGTAACACATTAGCTATAATATGCAATATTAATTACTTCGACTTTAGTTTACGCATTACGAGTAATATCCATCATTTCACATTATTCCTAAGAGTTTTTATGTAACGCAAACGATTTTGCAGCTAATTTATAAAGTACTAAAAAAACAGAGAACGAAATAAAACACTACATAAAATGAAAATGCTTCGATATATGCGAAACTTTATTTCCCGAATGCAATTGAAAATGCCATTTTGAAATCAATATCGACGCAAGAAACTAGGCATCGATAAAAGGAAAAGTTATAACAAAAAGAAACCATATCATATCCATAAATACTTGCACATTATAGCTGAGCAGCAGCTTACGATCAATATTTCCGTAATTTGTTTTTCACATTTTTATCAATATCTGTTGGTATTAGCTTGACTCAATTGTCTATTAATTTCTGGTAGCTCTGAGGAGAGATCGCTTTAAGCTCCTTCTTCTAGCTTTGTTTCATGGTCTCTTTACTGTAGGCGGCCTATCTGAAGAACTTGGGAAATCTGTTTGTTCGGCGATAAATTCCAAAATAATGAGTTGCATAATCCACAAATTGTCTTTCCACTTATCTGAAAAATAAAATGTTTATTCATTATTTGCTCTTCAAAAAGGTATTAGCAGAGGACGACAATACGGTTTGAAATAAAGGAATCCAGTCCAGGATTGGAAGATTTCATTCGTTGACTCATATTATCGTGGCACATCCTCCGAATAAGTGCACTATCTCTCAGGCAAACGTTCCAGCAATTCAGGAGCTTTCACCACAGAGAGCTGTTCCACAGAGATTAGCAGAATTGCTCTGAAACCTTTCTCCCCCCACCAAGAAGGGGATGAATTTCTGATTAACATGCATCAGGAAATGGTAACAATGGGCTCCCGCTGCATTGGACGGTGGTTGTCTTTGGGACGGTTGTGTACATTCCAGTGCCATGGAATTAATCAATCGTGAGGCATATGCCACTGAAAATTAGGATGAAGAGTGCCAGTGTAGAGTGTTGTCTGGTCAGCTTACGATACTGCTCAGATCTATGGGATGCAGTCTTTGGTGATTTCTAAACTGATTATCAAATATTTAGAAATCATCAACCGGCCTTATACTTTCAGCTGAAGACTTTATTATATCTGTTTTAAGGATGAAAATCTTCGGATATAATCAAAATCGCGAAAAAAATTCCATGTCAATGATTAATATCGCATGCCAGATATACAAGTATAGCCGATTGGTAACCGATCGGCTGCTTTTTAGTCTCTTAATCGAAAAGAAGACTATTCTAAGAGAAGCTATCATCTTTTTCGAATGTCCAGATACAAGCAAGAAGCCAGGAAGAAGCAAGAAATTTTTGGAAGTGGAAATTGGAATTTCCTAATACATACGGCTGATCAGAAAATCAAAACTATAAGTCTCTAGTATGCCACTAGGAACCTATGCCAAAAATGTGCTTCATACTGCTCTGCAAATAGAATCGGCAAGCTACTCCGAATACCTATGTAGCTTAAGAAAATACTTCAACCAGAGGATCTTATACATTGCTGTCAAGGCCTGCTGAACGATGCCGTAAGATCATCCTCTTTTTACGTAAGTATTCCCAATACCCCAAATATAGATCAGCTTCTTCTTTTTCTTCTTGCTTTCTGTTAGCCTTCATCTCATGACGCAGTTCAACGTAACAACTAGAGTCGACAACAATTTAAGCATTGCAGGCATACGATTTGCTTGGACTCTAATAAATATTTAACACCCAGCCCCAGATAAGTCGCTGCTGGTTACCCACCAGATACATACATACATATAGACGTAGTCTCTATGCGTTTACATATGTTCTGCATAAGACTTCAGAGAGAACTATCTTACACAATGCAAAGAAGCTATTACGTAAGCATAAAATAAATACTAATTTATAGGTGCATTTCAACATAAGAATTTTTAATTTCGTATCGATGCTAAAAGAAATTGTTACATGTCTTTTGGTAGATTAAAGGTGCAGAGTAGTTGAGGTTTCCTTTATAGAAACTGTTAGATGGTATGAAAGAATCTATCTTTGAGACTAGTAGAGACATTAAGCTAGTTTCTAGTTTGGAATGGGACCAACTATTATTCATTTTACATTTTAGCGCAGGAAAGACAACCGATGAAAATATCTCTATAAGTATTGTAGAATTTACAGGTATATCGAAGAATGTACATACCCTTTTGTAGATTGCATGCGAAAGACTTAGAAACAATATTGCTACGAGTTTCCTTCAGAATCAGCATAAAATCTAAGCACAACATCCTTTTACAATATTTACAATAAAATTTTACAATGTTTTATTTAACATTCGTTAATGCTAAATAAGAATAAAAAGCTAGAGTTCAGCGGGACCAACACTTAAATACTTAGTATAGGCAGAATTGTATGTACGAACATATTCTTAAATTCAGTTTTCAAAGCATGCATTTGCATCGGGAAGTACGTCTATGCGTGTGTATGCAACAACAAATAATAGCTGCTGGCAGAGCATGGACAGAGAGGTCTTGTAATCTCTGATATGCTGGCGCTCATATAAACAGACGGACGACTTATCAAGTCGTACTGATCAACAATATATTTGTAATTTTATTATTCAATAAAAGTATTTACGATTTCATTTTAAATTAATGTATACGCTCTTTGTAAATTTAATTTTCTCTTTTCCCTTGTTTATTTTTAAAATGAAAAACATAGACTAGCTTAATTAATTTTAATTTCAAAAGGGAAATATATAAAGAAATCAATTGGGAAATCAATGAAATAATGAAGTTATAAATAGGAAAAAGAAATATATCAATTCATAAATAAGTAAATTAATATACGTATATAAGTAATGAAGTATTAAAGTAAAAAACAAATAAATAAAAAGGTTTAAAACTGAACAAATAAGTGAATAAATGCATTTTTAAAAAATAATAAAATATAAATAGCATTTTTCTAAGCTAACGAGTTTAGTGCATCATTGATTATACCAATATTTTTAAAATGTATTTTATCGGCATTTTGTTTTTGAATTCTATCAACGATATCTCATCTTAAAAGGTTGTGCAAGACCATATTTGGTAAGCCTTAACCTTTGCCACAATGGAGTGGCCACTCAGACCTTGAACTTCAGCAAACGTAAGCGCTTAAAGCGAGCAAACATTTCGGTGGACGGACAAGCAGACCGAGAGACTGATGGACAGACTCTGACACGCGAAATGTAGCCACAAAGCGTATTATTCAGAGCGAAGGTATGCCCAGCATGGGCTCCTGTTCTAGCCGCGGACTAATCTCTGATTACATACCAGAAATGCATGCCATATCGGACGACGGAGAGTCGGGCGAGCGATGAAGCTACCGACCCTGCCTGATAGGCGAGATAAAGCAACGTCATGTGCATTGGCAGTGAGTGGGGAGAGCGCGACTTTGCTGCTCTTGTAGTTGTTGTTGTGGGCTGAGAGCGAGAAAGCTTAACATCAGCAGGCAGGCTGGCAGGCAGCCGATCGGCACACGATTCAGTGTTGCAGCGTGCAGTGGGAGAGTGACAGAGAGAGTCGCGTTGAGTGAGAGTCGATGAGTGAGTCGGGTATTAAATAATAGTGAGGCGTCGCTCAGTGCGGCTTTCAAATGTCAGGTAATGCTGAGAAGGCGCGCATATCGCGTATACGCCCGGCCGGCTGATAGTTTCGCTGCTGCTGTGAGTGTCAGTGTGAGTGCAAGTGCGAATGCGAATGCGAGTGCGAGTGTAAGTGCTGACTATAAAAGCGCTCAAAAGCGTGTCGCGGTGCTCGAGTCGGGTAGCGGGTCCAACAAAGACTGCGGTACGCCTGATGAGAACATTTCTTGACTGCTCGAATTTCATTGCAGTTTGTCGTCGTTGTCGTCGTCGTTTGGCGCATTATTTATCCACATTTCTGAGCGCTGTGGGCAGAGCTTAGAAATTGCAGTTCTCGCACGGTTTGGGGTTTTTAGTTTTATTTGACACGCGCACAGAGCCAGAATACCCCAAGGCGCAACAACAACAACAACAACAGCAGCAACTACAGCAACAACATCAACAGCAGCAAACACTTATACTGCATGCATCTTTACAAATATTTCTGCTATTGTCATTTTATTATTTAGAAACAAAAAGTACCGTTTCTTTTATTTCTATTTTTGCGCGTTTCGTGTAACCCTCGATCTCTATCTCGTCAGCTCTCGACGCGATCGCGAATAGCACGCACTCGTTTTCGGAATCGTGCCCGATCTTAATTCCCTCCCTACAAAAATTTCAATTCGGTTTCTGAAGAAACGCGCAAGCTGAACGCAAAACTCTGCTGAAACAAAAATGTGGTAACAGTAATAAATGATTAAGAAAAATGAAAAATAATATGTGTTTACCAAAAACTGTGCGAATAATTGATTTTTTTTGCCGAAGCAGCAAAAATTAAGTGTAACGGAAAATACCAAAAAAGTAAAAAATAAAAATGAAATGAGTGCAAAAATGTTGCAATTAATATATTATGTAATTTTTAAAAGTTAATGCTTGAGTAGCAAAACAAAAAGAATGCAAAAACAGCCCCACTGGAAGTGTGTATTAAAAACTTGCTTCGATTATTTGCAGAAATATTATCTCATGTTAAATAACATTTTTTTAAAACAAAATAGAAAAATCGTATAAAAATGTTATGTTTGAATATTATTAAAATTTTAGAAAATGTTAGCAACATTTCCCAAAATGAGAAAATATGTAAAATAAATTTCAAATATTATATAAATTTTCTAAATCATTTTTAAAAGTTGGAAAATTTGTAGGAATTTATCAAAAATATCCAAAAATGTACAACCTATATGGTTTTTAAATTTCCGTTACAACTCAGCGGCAGAGTATATCGTTATAAATAATAATAATTAAGCATACGACGTGTGCGCCACTAAAGTGCAAAATCGAACTGACAACAAAACCCATTAACAACGCGCCCTATAGAGAGATACGGCAATTAAATTATATGTACATATATATAAATATATATAAGTATATAGTTATATGTGAAGAAACAGGCAAGTGAGAAATAATCAAAAGTGCATTCAACCAAAAATTATCTACGTGTGTGCAACGAAGAGGAAGAAGAACAAGTAGCAGAGAAATAAGTGCAAAGCGAATACAAAACAAAAATCAACAACAAACACGTACACAGAGGAAGAAAATGTTTCTAAAAGCTCTTGTTTTTTGAACAGCTCTAAAGTTGCTGCTGCCGCCTTCCTTTGCTTCTTTCTATCATTTCTTCTGTTTTTTGTCTATTTCCATTCTACTTGCTTCCAAGGTTCTTTCTGTTATTGTAATTTTCATTGTCAAAGTCGTTTGTTGGCTGACCGACTAACTAACTGACTGACTAACTGACTACCAGACTAGCCGACCGACTGCCGGCCAGCAACGTCATTCCGAAACGTCATCAACGAGCGTTCGTGTGCGTCTGTGTGTGTGTGTGTGTGTGTGCGCGCGTGCATGTGCATGTGCGTGAGTGTAAGTGCGCGTGTGCACTTTGCAAGGGTTTATTGTGGACTGCGGGACAGTGTGAGTGTAGCTGACGGCGATCATGCGCCAGCAAGCCAGCCAGCAAGCTAGCTAGCCAGCCAGCCAGCCAATGGCAATGGCTTTCCATTTTGTTTCAATTCGCAATTGACAACTAAATTATAAACAAACAAAAAAGTAGAACATACCCATTTTGAACAATCCAACACAACTTTATTTCAATGCAATAACAATAAACTATGACATAATAATCAAGAATAATTACACAATGCATTTATAAATACTTGTATATACAGCTCTAAACATAATGGTCGGGAGAGTAGGAGACATTTTCAACTTATTAATTGAAACTCCTATTGAACAGAGGTAGGGAGTATTCCCATAAAGACTCACAACGTGTAATCTGACATCGACAATTCAAAAAAGGATTTGAAGAGTAGATTGTAATAATTTTTGGAGTCACCATTTTAGTTCTTGCCACCTTTAGTTTCCCATGGGGATGAATAGGAGTTTTACAGTCACTTATTAGTACTCTGCAAATGGGGTGTCAAAATTGTGGGATCATCAAAATTATTATCATCCCTTTTGGGATTACAATTTCTGAGGACTTTCTTGCGTACACCATCGTCGTGCTGACTTCTAAGAGTGGCGACTTCAAATACCACTTTTGAACACACACCCACAGAAAATTTATTGGAGGAGACACTATAGTTGCGATCATATCCATGTTTTGATATCAGTTGACGCGCTTAACACTTTATTATTCAAGGGTCACCACTCTTCGGTCGATATTTTAGGGGTCACCATTTTTGGATTTACCATTCGGGATAGTCATTGCTTGTATTACTTTTTACGGTATTATTCTGTTTCTTCAGATTGGAAATCTCCATTTAAGGGGTTGCGATTTTGTATAATTAATTGAATATAATTTTTCATTCTTCGTATCATCACTTGAAATTTTGTAATTCATAGCACAAAAAAATAAATACAAATTAGAGAACAGGATAGATGTTAGGGGCTCTGTCCTAGATTTAAGGTTTTTACTGTTTTTTTGAACAATAATTACTTTTACAAAAATCGCTAACAATTTAGTAATAACATTTTTAAAGTTAAAAAAAGCAGAAATGTTCAAACAACATTGTTAAAAGGCTGAAGTGAGAAGAATAGAAAATAGTTTATTTATCTATATCAGCATTTCTGAATTGGTGGCAGTTCGGTATACAATGTTGAAGAAAACGTAACAGATATGGACAAGTCGAAATGATCTTGTAGTTCTATTGTGCCCCCATTTCGTACGATAAGAAATCATTGTGCCGCTATTGAGATAATTACGGAGTTGGGTCGCGTTATCTAATCTTATCTGTAGGAAATTATACTGACCATTCGAAGCTTTATCCGAAATTCCTTCAACGCGAGCTTCTCACTATATCTTATATCCCCTGTTCTATGAAAATCCCCCGGCACCAGAATGACTCAGGAAATTTCAGATCGTGGAGAACTTTGAATAAATCTATTGATTGCTGCACAAGCCCGTACAATTTAACGACGCGGCAGTAACGGCAATAGCAAAATGCACTTACCACCACTCACTATATATACGAGTAGTACCTGCATAGTAGTATATAGTATTCTAAATATTTACTATAGTATGTGGTAGCTGCACAACCATTGAGAACCGGTTAGTGGTGGGGCCTTTAACCCTATAAAAATAGGAAAGGTAGAACGAGTAACTAAATATTAAACTTGTCAATAACCCAGCTGCCCATTAGCAACAATAATTTGGAAAGAGGAAACAAAACGGAAAATGGGAAAAACTAAAGCGACAACAAACAATACAAAACACATACTGGGCGGCATTAAATAAATCAATGAACGGCAATTGGCAAAAGATAAAAATAAAAATAGTGAAAAATTTAATTAAGTCAAGTTTAGAGAATAAAAACTCAACAACAGCAGCAGCAACAACAACAGCAGCAGCAGCGACACGAGCAACTGTAGAGGCGAACGAAGACAAAGCATAAACGACGATTGCATGTGTGTGGGAAAGAGACAAAAAATATTACAACTATCGAGCAGAGCAGAGCTTTACAAAAGGCGGAACGGAAAAAGCTGCCCTACGAGCCACGGGGCGTATGAGTTTTGAGTGTTATCAACACACACACACACACACAAGCACACAAGTGCTATGTTGTAATCGCAATGCAATTAGCAATGGCAAAAAGCTCAAGTTCACTAACAAAGAAATCAAACACGCACACATGCAAGCACAAACGCAAACACACACACACACACATACACACACACATACAAACGCAAACTATGCGATAATTGCGCGCAGAGCGAAGCTTTAGAAATGCAATCAAATTACGTGAGTCGGCCTGCATTGCATTAGAAAGAGAGAGAGAGTGAGAGTGGGAGAGCGGCAAAGCGGGAGAGCGTGCGAGAGAATATTTGATAGCTGTCGTTGTTGTTGTTGTTGCAGCTGTCGTGAGTAGGTCAGTCAACGATCTTCGCTAGCGGGTTGAGTAAACTTCGTCGTTGTCATCCATTCGGTACGCTCGGCCCAACCGGCTTTTGTGCTTTGGCCTTTTGCTTCCGCATTGTTCAATGCCAAATGCCGTGCATTGAGAGAGAAGGGGGTGCAATTCCACGAGTATAATAAATATAAAATACGAGCGATTGGATCTGAAGAGTGATTGTGCGTTTGATTGATTAAAGTCATAATTCGTGACACTTCAAAAGACGTTTTATGCATTAATCGAGTTGTTCTAGAGATCCATGGCAAGCAGAAAGCTGATCCGAACAGCTTGATATATAATTCGAATAATGTGCTTAATTATTATTTATAAGTAGCATGTATGTATATGAAATGCAGATTTAATTTCACAAACAACTTTTTATTTAAATTTTTTGTTGACTCATTTCAATGCTCTTTTCATGCTCTAACGATTTTAATTTTATTTTGTTGTTTTAAATTATAAAATAATAATGTTGGTATTTTTGTATGTGTTTTTTTTAGTTGGTTTGAACTTTTTATTATTTTATTCCCAAAACTATTAATAAATCGAAGTAATATACGAATGGTTTATAAGTATAATTATTCCCAAACGTAATATGTAATAGAAAGTTTAAATGCCAAATGTGTGTAACAGTAAGAAGGAGGCGTGACAGAGCGCATGGCTAATTAATATGGGAATGATTGGTAGATCAAAGTTTGTTTTAACTGAATGGCTGTATAAGGAAACAGGGTCCACGGTACACAAGTGATTGACTGACTCGACTATAACAAGTTTGGTTTTAAGTTTGTCTTACTCGGCATTATATTCTTTTTATTTACTTGTGATAGCAGATGTGGGATTCAAAATACACAAAAAAATTAAACTGAACTGAAAAGCACTTTAGTAGTTTTGGCTTCGTTTTAACATTTCAATAGTGTAAAATACCATTGTTCAATTTTGTAATTTTATTTTTTTATTTGTGAACAGAAATTCCATATTACTAAGCTAATACAAAACTTTGTTCAAAGAACTATAAACAAGTTTCAGAATTCTCATAGCAATGCAATTAACTTAACTTAATTATTGTGTCGGTTGTTTTGGGATGTGCACGGCGTTTTTAAGCACAATTCCTGTTCCAACTTCATCAAAACGAAATTATCTTGAGAATAGTAGGGAAAGAGGTTCTATGCTAATAATACTACTACTACTGCTAAAATGCAAATGCTAAACATGCATATTGATTTTAATTGCTGATAAAAAACTGCACTAGTTTTCTTTTACTTCAGCTCGACTAGTCAATATTCATTAAAAATTCTCACATATTTTCAGCTAGTTTATCGGCTTTATCTAAAAATTAATTTCTGCTAAATCATAAGTCAATCCGATAGCTTTGAATAGAGAGTCAATGTTGAAAATCAAATCAAAACTTTGTTATTTGTTTAAGATGATGTCACATTTTCCGTGAATATGTATTCAAAATTCCAAATTCGATTCTGCATTCAAAATAAAGGACATTTCATGGTTGGTGAGATGTGGCCATCAGTTCTACTTTCATTTCTATATCTCAATTTATTCTTTCTAAAGTACGGGCAAGAATGTATATATGGCAAGAATGTATATATTTTATTAATATTAAAATCCTCTTTAAGTTCAGTTAATACTCTATTTTCTTAACTTAAATATCTACAGTTGGGAACGCGCTAAATGTTCTGGTTTCAAACTTAGTGCTGCGCTTTGCGGCAAGGTAACGCCCACCAAACAATTTGCAGCTTCGACTTGCAGCCAAGAGAGTCGCCACTAATTGCAAGACGAGCCATACGGCCAGCGTTGGCAATTAGCCGTATTACCTGCTGTCTGTCCTGTTTGGCGCGCCAACACAAAGCCAGCAACAACTACTTAGGGTTAACCAACAGACGACACTTGCCAAGGATTGCGGGGGTTTGGGGCGAATGGCTTTGAAGTGTATTTAAAATGTGTTTACTTTTTATAATGCAGGAATACATGTGGGAAATTATGGGTCGTTTAATGCTTCACTTGCTGGTCAAACGGCCAAACGGACAAGCGGATTAATTACACACACATAATCATGGAGATCAAAAGTCGTGTGTGTTGGCATTATAAGCCGATTCCGCTTTGAGCGTTTATTATCGCATTGTGTGTTGGCCAAGATTTAAAGCAGGCGTTTAATTTATTTTAATGAACGGCGCGTGGCGTTTTTACACCTTTTTCGCAGCCAACAACGTCAGCCGTTGGCAATTGACATTAAAAGGCAGCAGCTGTGCAAGTTTTTCAGCTGCCTCGTAGGTTTTCTTTTTGCGCCTTTGTTAGCCAACCTTTCTGCCACATTTTCCCTTAACTTCCCAGTTATGCGCAAACTGCAAAAACTTTGTGTCAAGAAATTGCGCGTACGAAGCCCTCCATTTGGCAATTAAGAAAGTTATTGTTGAACAATACACGATATCGTTTGTTGCATATGAATTCGCATTTGGTTCGGAGTGCAGTTCATTTGCTTACCCACTTAACTCACTTTTCACACTTCAAGTTGAACAGCTTTCTGTCTTAGGGTTGGTTCCCTTGAAAATTGAAAGTGAATATAATTTGATATTAGCATGTGGAAGGTATGTGAAGAAAAAAAGTTAACTTGTTTTGTTCCTAAAGTAAAGGGAATACTTTAATTAGAATAAAAAACGAAAGGTTGACACCACTCTTTCAGTTGAAATCCTCAAAAGCTAGTTGATTGATTGAAAGAGCTTAACCTTATTTGGATAGAATTTTTTTAAGTTCATATGGAATCGAATCGTGAAGTTATTTTAATGAAATAAAAGAACAAAAAGTTGAAACTTTTATAAATTACGAGTTATATTATTTCAAAGTAAGAAATTCTTCGAGTACACTAATAAGGCATAAGTGACGCTTTTGGGAACGCAGACATCGAAGAAGGATTGTCTTAGTAAAGAGTAGACGCAATTTCAACTTCAACAGATGTTTATAAATCGAAAAGATCCATCAGTTTTGGAAATTAATCGATTAAGCATAACAAAACTTTACGAGCACAATGGTGTGGCTTATTGCAAGCCAATAAAGTGAAATATTTTAATAACATAAATAATGATAAAGCGATATTTCTACTACAGGTATAGTGGCATTATGTGAATCTTCAACCAAAGCATTAATTAGTTCGTTTACAACCTCGATGTAAAGCCGGCGGATTTGCAAAAATGCTATCCACAACGGTGTGCTGAGGTATTGGGGGGGTTAAGGTGATGTGATCCACTAATAGAGACAATGAAATATCTGGCACTGTGAAATAACCAACCAAAACCAGCTTGTCCAAACAACATATAGAATTTTGAATTAAATGTCAACCGAAGGTAGTTCACCCTCTTTTTTTATACCATCCTGCTGGAGGTTTAGACTTCACAGCTACTGCTTTCAATAGAGCAATTAGTGTTAATGATGGACAAATCAGTTGATTCCAAAGTAGTTGAAGATACACATGAGTATTTAAGGTGTTCTGTTTTCTGTCAATAAATCATTTACTATACATCGTCTGTTGGTATGTATAATTCTAATAGTGAACGCCAGGAAGAAATTGCTGGAATACATTCAACAATGCACAAATAACAAAACTAATTGAAGTAAAGTACAAATTAAAGAAGGCATGAATTTGATTTAAATTAAACGAAAGCTTGTGCCTTTATGTCGCTTAGGTTCTTTTTAAAACATTACATCTAATATATACATACTATGTATATAATTCATTGCAATTAAAGTTTATATCCAAGTGCGTGTTGTATGTATTTAAAGAACGACGTCAACTTTATTTTGACTTTCTGGTGGAGAAGGAAAGCCAAGAAAGCAGCAGGAAAAGTTTTACTGTGAATTCTATTGTAGCTTATCCATTTGATTTGCTTGCGAGAATACTGAACAGAAATTTCCGTAGAATGGAAAAACTCAAATGAACTTTGTAGGAATAATATCGACTCTATTGTAGCTTTCAATAGTCACCGAATTATGCAATACTTGTATGCCTGGCAGAAGAGCTAAAAATAAGCCAAAAGCCAAATGAAATGCAGTCAGGCAATTGGTCGGTTCGGAGCAGACACACACACATAGAAAGTGAGGTCTGCTTACGCACACCCCCAAAACGACGGCAGCAACAACAATAGGAGTGAGAACTGAAGCAGTGGAGAGGCAGCCAAAGCCATAGCCACAGCCACAGCCATAGCCATAGCCGTAGCCAAAGCAGCTCAAAAGGTTGTTATGGCATTTGTCGCAGCAGAGCAGAGAACGCGTCAGAGTCGCAGCTGCAGTCGCCAGCGGCGTCACAGTCGTCGTCACAGTCACAGTCGCTGTCGCCGTCACAGTCGACGTCGCAGCGCATTTTGTAACAGAGGCGAAGGTAGCATACTTTTTAGGGGTTGCAAATGCAGCCGAGCCTCGATATGTGGATACGCGTCCGTGTAGATGGCGATGGCATGCACTCCTCATTGGTGCCGAGCAAATTCGCCACTGGGCTGTCTGTGTGCGGCACATGCGCAGGCGCAGCTCAACGAAGCCAATGCTGGCATTACGTAAGTGCAGCAGCCACTGCGCCAGATCCCACGCACGAGGACAATACTTGTAGACATGAAGGCAGTTGAGTGTGTGGCTGTGTGAGTGTGCGAATGTGTGTGTGTGTGTGTGTGTCTGAGCGAGTGTGTAATGCTGTGGCAGCAGCTCGAGAAGGCGAGCGTCAGAAACTGAACTGCACTTGTTGCTGACGGAAGGTGCGCGCGCTTCAATAAATCATTTGTTTCCGGTCGAATTAATATTCATATTTTTTTTTTTGTTGTTGCAAATTACGCGACGGTGGAAAAGTGCGTTTAAAACAATCTACAAATCTACAACAAAGGTGTTGCATATAAATCAAAATTGTAATAAAATCTCATCTAATTTACACTCGCAGCACTGAGAAGTTCCAAGAAAATGTGGCACTCCAATGAACATATTGAAATCAGCTGCAAAGTAAATGTTACCTAAGTAGCAGGCATCCCATGCAATATGCAACAAATGAAACGTATTATGAAATACTAAACAGCAACAAAAGCAAAGTGGAAATAATGTAAATTAAGTGGCGGCAGAATTTGCAGTTCTTGCCAAAAATTGTTTTGTGCTTACCAAAGTCAGTTTTTGAATCAACAGTGTGAAAATTTCAACAACAACAACAACAACAGAAACAGCAACAAGAAGAGAGAAGAGAGAGATATAAGATACGGAAATTGAAAGCAACTGAAAACTGAAGCTGAAACTGAACTGGATTATTTAATAAATACGAAGATGGACGATGAGAGCGATGACAAGGATGATACGAAAAGGTAAGCGTGTTTCCTATTCATAAAAGCGCGACTGAAGGCCTCATGAAGAAACTGCAACTGACAGTTTGTCTCATGGCTGGCAGGCAGTACGTAGATATAGATATAGACGAGCGTACGCTACACGTCGAGGATGGATGATAGATACTAAGGTGGGTGCTGAGACAGCAAATGGTGCCTTAACTGCGCATGTGGGTCGAATGTCGATACATTTCCCATTTCCATTTACATTTCTTCATCTTTTTCTATTCTATTTATTACTTACACACACAAAATTAAAAGGCATGTGGAAACGTAAAATTTTCCATTGAGAGAGTGAATGAGTAAGAGAGAAATTCGAACTACATAAGTAATTCACTTTGTTAACCAACTATCAATGACTTCAACACTAGCAGATTTTAAATAGTAAGGAAGGGGATTTAAGATTTTGTGGCAACATACGTAAATATTTGAAAAGCGCTAAATGTATTCGGAATACGAGAGACGGGAGAATTTTAAATTCCCAGCTTTAAGTTTCTTCGTCTATAGCTCTCCTCAAAATTATTCGATTTGCATGAAAGACTGAAGTGCTAAACTCACTTAGATGGCTTTCTGCCAACGAAGCACTAAACATGAATCAGCAGTGTGAAATATAAAATATATAATATGAATGCTGCTTTAAACCAATATATTTAAGTATCACATTTAATCAAGCCAAAAAAAGTATTTAATTAATGTGTGTTTAAAAGTTCTTTTTCAAATTAAGTTTGGTCGTAATTAAAGTTTGATAAAAAGTCTTTTTTCAAATTAAGTTTTGTCGTATCAGAAAGGACCATCTGTCTTCAGTTTGGAATGTCAATAGAGGTATGGAATTCAGTGCAGATGAAGCCCAATAATATATTTTTCATATCAAGAAGTGAAATTAGTTCAATTAACTTATTATTCAACTTATTAATGTTTTACAAAAAACAACAATATTTCACTCAGTTGTTTCTGGAAACTACTGAGTCGATGTTTGGTATAGGAAATCAATCAGCTATCGAACTCCTTAATAATTGGAATTCAATCAAATAACTATTGTACATATTAGTAAGTGTTGCTCTTTTAAATTAGAAGAGAAAACACACAAATCCATTAATATCACATGTTGTCAATAATTTTCCGAATTCATACCTTTGAATATTGCTAATATCTTGAGAAATTTTCGGGCATCGCCAAGCTCGTTGGATAAAAAAACAAAGGGCGTAGACTTTCAAATTCCAATAAATAAAATATTATTATATTATATAACTCAGTGTCTTGGACTTATGTTATTCCTTCTTAAAACATGTATATACGAGTCACTATAGTCACAAAGATTTCGGCCACATAATGTGCTTATATGCTCGTACATAATTTATATAAAAATTATGCTGTTGCCATAATAAAATATTCAAAACAAAACATAAACAGTGTCGAAGCAAACACTTTAAGTGTCCAGTCACCAAACGTTCCAGTTGTTTCTCTGGATTGTTAGCAATTTTTTGCAGGTAATATAAACCCTAGCAGACATCTATAATATTCTAGCATTCATATATACAAGTATAGTACATTAGTATATAGTATGCTTGAATGTTATAATCAACGGCCAATGAAAAGGTAGCCCACCGAAAAAGAAATGCAATTAGTCTTCGCTTTCATTCCGAGGCATTACAGAGCTGGAAATTAAATGTAATTTGAGACAAATTCGATTTGATTTACGGCAAACACTTCGCGTGGCCATGGACATGGTTAATTATAATTAAATAATGTATATATGTGCTTATGCTTATGCAATTATTTATATGCTATTGGGCAATATGCAAAAACTGCCGGATTACATCATAAGCGGGCTGTGGAAACTAAATTGTGGTTGGGAGGGATGTGGAGAGGGGCGAGCAATATTGAGTTTCAAGAAAAGTAATGAATACATAATTGAGTAGAGCTCAGCATTTCATACATTCAATTATGTATATATTTAATTAATTAGAACTTCCTTAGCTAAGTGTTAAGAGCCACGAATCTTGACAAATTTCCGCAATACAAGCCAACGCCATAAAGTGAGTTTCTTATTATGTAATTGTGGAGGAAGGAGCTAAAAGGTAAATGTCTTCTCGCCAATAACAAAGCAAGTTTTTCATTCTAATATAAAACAAGATAGAACGCTACAGTCGAGCAAGCCCGACAGTAAAATAGCCTGTACTCTCCACAAAAAGGAAAAAATTAAAAAAAAAAAAATTTTTTAAAAATTAAATTATTAAAAAAAATGAATGAATTAATTAATTAAAATAATTAATTAAATTAAATTAGAATACATGTTTATGTTCAGTTTAAACAGCATACATTTACATCACGTACCTATGCGTGTTTATATGCGTGTATGTATGCAGCACAAAGTTAAACCAAAGCAGCAACAACAACAACAGCTGCGGGCAGCGCTGCCGACAGAGGCAGCGCATGAGCAGCGATTTTACTTATGGCTATAACTTTCTTCAGAATTGACCTATCATGATGAAATTTGGCACACGGACACATTAGTACTAACTGGATGTACCTACCAAAATTGATTTCAAAATTCCGAGAATTACGGAAGTTATAAGAAAAAATACGAATTGCGGGGGAGTGGGGGGGTGTATCAGAAAAAATAAACAAACTCGTTCTGCCTAGGGCTTATAGGAACCTTGATACCAATTTTGGTTATCCTAGCTCTTGTACTTACTGAGATCCTTGCGCTCATACAGACAGACGGACAGACGGACAGACGGTCAGACGGACAGACGGACAGACGGACAGACGGACATGGCTATATCGACTCGTCTTCTCATCCTGATCAAGAATATATATACTTTGTGGGGTCTGCCACGCCTCCTTCTGTGTGTTACATACATGCGCACAAAACTAGTATAGCCTTTCACCCTTTGGGTACAGGCTATAAAAATTGTGCATTGCAAACAATTCTACTGCCAGGTGATTCAAATATTTTATTTGCTTGTAAGCATCTAACTTTGAATATTCACAACATAAGGTGAATATCTTCTATTTAAAGTATGTGGAAAGTGTATTTATTTACTGAGATGGTGAATGCCATTATTTAAATAAAGCTTGATGGGGTCGAAGATGCTTTCTCCTGCCTAATACAGGTTACAAAAATCAAATATTTGTGATAATTACAAAAAAGCAAAAATTGTTTACCATATTCGTGTTTACTCACAAATATTTCATTATATATTTGCAGAAGTAATTAAATATAGTCAATATACTTATAGCTGACGACATTTAATAAGCTTTGGTCAGTTAGTTACAATTAAAGGATAAAACGAAAAAAATAATTAGTCTACGCCTGTCATGATTTCTATGAATTAGTTTGGTTTTCATTTCGTGGAAAGGAAACACTCCAAACCAAGAGTTAATTCCCTAATCTTAATCAACAGGACATTGACATTAAAGTAACTAAAGGTGTCTTTGGAATCATTAGCTTACAGATTTGGTATTAGAGGCCGGAGCATAAACAACTTGTATTTGTCGCATCAAGCTTTGAATACTTCTACTTCTATTGCTTAAACATTTAAATAAAATAAATGCTGCACTTAGTTTTGAAAACAATAAGGGAACTTTTATACATTTTATGAAGTATGTTTCCATGTCACTTTTTATTTTTTGTCATTTAAAGCTAGTGTGTACCACAAAAATTATTCCAAAGCATTTAAAGCATATTAAAGCTGTTTTGGATGATGCAAAGAAAGCATTTCATTGCTGTTAAGTGTAGCTTTAAAGTCAAAAAAATATATTTAAATAAATACTAGCATTATTTCTCTAAATTAAAAGAATGATTATTGCAGCTTCTTCAAACAGTCAAGAACAAAATCAATCTTTTAAAATATGTAAATGACTCATTTTGGGAACATACCCAATAAGTAAGACATACGAGTTCATCGACAATTTTTTCTACACAAACATAGCTATGTTTACATATCCACATATGTGTTAGAGTGTGTTAAAGTGTGTGTGTGTGTGTGTGTGTGTGTGTGTGTGTGTGTGTGTGTGTGTGTGTGTGTGTGTGTGTGTGTGACTCTCTCGATGCATAAACAAAACCGCCTACGTCTGACATGTAGATGTCAGATGCACAAAAGACGCTCAAAACTGTGAGCTCTAGCGCAACAAATGCGAAACGACATGGGCAGGAGGAAAGAGGCTGGAACAGCTCAGCTGTAGTCCACCATTCCGGATATGGTGTACAGCCGTACACCCATATGGATGTCCGTCACCATAACCATCAGCGTCACCACTTCTACTGGTGCTGCTACAGATACTGATACTGATACAGATACAGGTAGTTGCGTGGGGGTGTGGGCGCATATGGGAATATTTGTCTAATAAACGCCACACAATGGGACACACGTGGGCAGGCAGATGTGAAGGGCGCAAGGTTGTCGGGTGGCAGCAGAAGGCTGGTGGCTGGCAGTCGCCAGCCGACTGGCAAACAAAAATATCAGAGCAAAAGGGGTGGAAATAACGCTTTTATTTTTTACGGATGCTTAACCTTACCTTCGAATCATCGTTTATGTAACTCGCAGTTTTCTTTGCAGAAAATCTCGGAATGCCAGCGAGAAAAAGAGACGCGACCAGTTCAATTCACTGGTCAATGATCTGAGCGCTTTGATTTCCACATCGAATCGCAAAATGGATAAATCGACAGTATTGAAGTCGACCATAGCATTCCTGAAGAATCATAATGGTACACTAGCTATGAAAAAAGGTGCATTTGAAAAAAAAATTAATCCGCCGTTCACATTGCAGAGGCCACAGATCGTTCGAAGGTTTTTGAGATACAACAAGACTGGAAGCCCACATTTCTTACCAACGACGAGTTTACGCATTTAATGTTGGAGTCACTGGATGGTTTCATCATAGTATTTAGCTGCACAGGCACCATATTCTATGCATCGGAAAGTATTACCTCACAGCTGGGCTATTTGCCGGTAAGTCCAGTTCTTGGCCATTTCTCGGCAGCCGAAGCTCACATCCACCTTCTTATTCCAATATTCCACAGCAAGATCTATATAATAAGTCCATCTATGATCTGGCTTACGAAATGGATCATGAGGCTCTGCTCAACATATTCCTGAATCCCACGCCTGTGATTGAGCCCCGTCAGACGGACATCAATGCCAGCAATCAGATCACCTTCTATACCCATCTGAAGCGCAGTGGCGTTAAGAATGTCGACGGCAATGTCTACGAGCTGATCAAATTTGTGGGCTACTTTCGTAGGTTGCAACAAGATACAGAAAGATTACAGAATTCAAAATATCTAAGTTTCCGATGTTGAATTGCTAATAATAATTTCTTAGCAAATTTAGAATTGTCTTTGTATCAGTTTCTAATCAAATTAAAAATGTATATTTTTTGTTAGGGATTAAAACGTTCTTTAAGATTCAATTTAATTCAAACCTCTAGATATTTTGAATTTTGATATGATATTGAAAAAGTATGTCATCACAAGCCTTGAAGTTCCACAGTGTTTTGAAAATGAGAAATGATAAAACACGATTGAAAAATGGTTTAAAATGAAGTTAAAAGAAGGTTCTCAAACCAAAAATTGGGAGCCCAAACGCCTAAGTTAAAACCTTGGATAAAGTTCCCATTAAAATATTTTATTAAATACAATTATATAATTATGAAAACCTTCAGGCATACAAAACTGAAATATTTGAGATTGGTTGGATTCCCACGACTCGGGATCCGTTCACAGAATATGGCATAATTATATTTGTAGGCCTAAGCCTACTTACATTAAAATGAAACAATTAGATCCATTTTAGGTATGAACGTGCTTTTAAAATGAAATAGCTCCAAAATAAATCAATCTAGAATTATTTACGATGTTGAAGATGTATACTCTATATACATGAATAATTGAATTGAGGCTTTTTGTGATGCAGCCCTTATGTTCAACAGATACTAATTCTTTCAATATTTATAAAGGAAACGATGCCAGCACCAGCGCCTCATCGAGCTCGGATAGCCAGAGTAGTCAGACAATGCCACGAGTCTTTCAGCTGAATCCGACGGTGGAGGTGGACAAGAAGTTGGTTTTCGTGGGCACGGGACGTATTCAAACGCCACAGCTGATACGCGAGATGAGCATCATCGATCCTACAAGCAACGAGTTTACCTCAAAACACAGCATGGAGTGGAAATTTCTGTTTCTGGATCATCGAGCCCCACCGATTATAGGCTATATGCCCTTCGAAGTGCTGGGAACTTCGGGCTATGATTACTACCATTTCGATGATCTGGACAGCATTGTGGCCTGCCACGAGGAGTGTAAGTAGAGAGTACAGGCCTTTTCTTACAATACTAACATCCAGATATTTAATGTAGTGCGTCAAACGGGCGAGGGCAAGTCCTGCTATTATCGATTCCTCACCAAAGGACAGCAATGGATTTGGCTGCAAACGGACTATTATGTGTCCTACCATCAGTACAACTCGAAGCCCGACTATGTGGTGTGCACCCACAAGGTCGTCAGCTACGCCGACGTCATCAAACAGAGCCACAAGGAGCACAGCAAGTCCAGCAAAGCGCTCGCTTCCACCGCCAGCAGTACGAAGTCAGCTTCGGCCACAGCGACGCTGCGAGATTTCGATCTGACCGGCCAAAATCTGGACAGCACCCTGCTCGGCAATACGCTGGCCAGTTTGGGCAACGAGGCCAACTCACCGACTGTGGACTCCTCGCCTATGTGGTCGGGTACGGTGGCAGCACCCGCATCCAGTTCCTGTCAAATCAATCCGCTCAAAACCTCAAGACCCGCCTCCAGTTATGGTAACATCAGCTCAACGGGCATATCGCCAAAGACCAAACGGAAATGCTACTTCAACAACAATCGTGGCAATGAGTCCGACTCGACATCAATATCGGCGGACTCCGTCACCAGCAGGCAGTCCCTAATGACGCATGTGAGCTCGGTAAGTACAAACAAATATCTAAACCCCAGAATATAGCGGGACGTATCAAAAAACTAACGTACTAGGTATACATCTGATAGTGTTATCTCAATAAACAAGAAACTTTTTCTTTGAAACTAATAGCAATCTTTCTCGGGGCGGCTTTATATATCTTTTGACAAACTTGATCTTCATGAGGCTAGGAAGTATTTGCATGAATAGTTTGGTGGCGCGAGATCTTTTCGTTTGAAAGATATGAACGTTCATACAGACAAACATACGAACAGCCTGATTTAACTATGTTATTATATATAAGCTTAACTCTTGGCTCATACATATACTTATGTGCTGATAGAATTGGGACTGTAAACTAGTTTATTTATTTATTTATAAAATATATTTTTATGTCAATAAACAATGATAATACAAAGGCTGCAATAGAGCCTTATAAGCTAGGAAAGCCTAAGTAGGAGAAATCTAATGAAATTACTAGTTTATCGATCATAGATCCACCAAATTAAAAAGCTTAACAGAGAAAAGAAGCTTAGAATTAGTTACACAGACGTTCCTGGTAGGAGATTCCGGAGATGGCTCAAAAGAGAGGCTTTTATTAAGGAAAGAGACGGTTCAGTTGAGAGCAGGTGAAAATGTTCTTTGTAATTGAAAACCTGGAAAGGATTGTGGGATGCATAATCAGTTGTACATCCGTCAAGGAAAAGGGAAGATATTTTCTTGTTGTTCTGCGAGGAACTGAGAAGTTGAAAGGGAGGGAGAATCGACACTACAGACAATAAGTTTGTGGAGAAAAACAATTCCAAGGACGGTCCTCCGATTAGTTAGTGAAGGAAGATTTTTGAGCAGAAGTCTGCTTGTGTAGGGTGGCGAACGCACGTTGGGAACCCAGTTGAAGCATAGAAGAGCAAAAATAAGGAATTGTCAATTCCATCCAGCAGTATAATAATTTAAGTTTGGTGTTTCTAGCTCTGATGCTTCAAAACATATTGACGTTCAGTGTACTTGGAGGTAAATTTTAATTGATCTGGAAAACAAACTTTTATTGCAGCAAAGTCGACCGCGCACGCATCATCATCACGGCGCGCATAATCATCACCACAACAGCAGTAGCGGTCAACTGCATCATCCCCTCCAGCCGCATCCGCAACAGCAGACGCATCAGCAGCAGCAGCAACAGTCGCATCAGCAGCACCATCTACTGCAACAAAACTCCGCCCAGCCCAAAATGTTGCCAATGTTGCCGCTGGCGCCCGCACAAATCGTGAGCAGCACCGCCTGTCAGCTTCCACAGCCCACTTACCCGCTGACCAGTCCACAGGTGATGGCACCGACATTTCTGGAGCCCCCGCAGTACCTTACTGCCATACCAATTCAGCCGGTCGTAGGTCCATTCCCAATGGCCCCATTACTGTCGCCACTGCCTGTAGGTTAAAGGGAATCACAGCACGATAAGCTATTGCAACTAATTCATACTATTTTCAGGCACAATCCGAACACCTACCTGGCACTGTGGTTATGACGCCCACGCAGAGTCAGCTGCAGGACCAGCTGCAGCGAAAACACGACGAGCTGCAGAAGCTTATCATGCAGCAGCAGGACGAGCTGCGCATTGTGTCCGAGCAGTTGCTGCTCGCGCGCTACACCTACCTGCAGCCCGTGGTGCCGATGGGCTTTGCCGCCAACAACATGACAAATGTGGGCAGTGTGAACAGCAGCAATCAGCAGCGCAACTTTTACTTTGGCAGCAACAACACAGTTGAGCCGCATTTCAATCAGTTCGGCTTTGCACTGAACTCCGAGCAGATGCAGGACCAGCAGATGATAATGCAGCAGCAGCAGAATCTGCACAATCAGCAGCAACACAATTTCCAGCAGCAGCACCAGCAACAGGAACCGAATCAGCAGCAGCAGCAGCAGCAGCAGCCGAATCAGCAGCAGCAACAACAACTGCAGATGCATCAATCACAACAACAACAGCAACAACAACAACAGCAGCAGCAGCAGCAGCTTCTGCAACAACAGGCCCAGCAGCAGCAGCAGCAGCAGAGCAACATGCTGTCGCGAGAGGACATCGAGGATATTGACGCCTTTCTCAATCTGTCACCCCTGCAGTCCTTGGGCTCGCAGTCGGGCCTAAATCAGCTCAACAATGGCAGCAGCAACAACAACAGCCATGCCGGCCACAACAACAACAATAATAATCAGAGCTACAATAACGGCAACCGCAACACGACCAACAACAGAAACATCAACACCAACAACAGCTCAAATGCCCCTCAAAACACGAACGAGGACTCGCTGCTCTCCTACATGCAAATGGCAACCGAATCGAATCCGTCGCTCAACTTCCACATGGGCATCAGCGATGATGGCTCGGAGACACACAGCGAGGAGAACAAAATGTTGCACAGCACCGCCAATCAGTTCCAGAATCATCAGCAATTGTTGCAGCAGCAGCAACAACAACAACAGCCCTCGAGCAATTTCTTCAACACGAATGCATTCCAGTCTCTCAACTCCAATCAGACCGCAAACCAATTACCAAACGATCTGGAAATAGTGCCCTTCCAGATGTCGCAGGAACAGTCACAGAACCTTTTCAATTCTCCGCACAGCACGGGCAACAGTCAAAATTGAGGGGCGCAGCTAAATAGAAAGCTAAATGGCTTCATATCAAAATCAAAACCAATTCCTTAATGTACATATATATACATTGTAAGCCCTTAGTCGTAATTAGGTCTTAAGGCCTCAGGTCGCACCCTTCATATATCGCATGCTGAATCCATCAACCTCCATCAGCTTAGCACATGGCTCTCTCTATCGTACTTTCCCCGAAAGAACCACTAGTTGTAGATCTCAACAGACTGAGTATACTTCTAATTTATTTTGTACATATTGTACATACTTGTATATTAATATATACTCTCTCCACATTGGCTTTAAGTTCTCGCAAACATTGGCGAGCCATTTGAGTTTCTCAAAGATATTCAGCATTATCGAGCACTATCATCGATTATTTAGCCGAAATATAAGAAAATCGCACATGAATCTAAAAAGTATTTTCAGTTGCATTCTAAGAAGCATATAGTATAAATAGTATAATAAATTTATAGTGAAAACAAATTTTAAATACTTAATACGAAGTCTTAGTTTAATTTTACAAACCATCTTAATGCCATTGGTATTAATGGTATCGAAAAATCCTCTCAGCACTTTTAAGAAGTTCCGAAATTAAATTGAAAATGTATCTAAAGTATTACTTTTCAATGCAAACAAAGTTAAAAACTAATAATTTAAAAGATGATGTTGGGATGGAATGTTTTAGTTACTACTTCACAATGATACTAAGAAGATTACGGTCGATAAATCGTGTTTGCACCTTACGAAGAATTTTGGACACTAAACGACAAATAGTTCTTGCACTGCTTAGAAGTTTTGCGAAACTAAAGGAAATAGAGTTGCTTTATAAAGAGCTTCAAACTTCTTTAAAAGAAATTGAAGTTCAATTTTGGAAAGCTTTCTAATATACAAATCGTGGACAAATCATTCCTCAAGTGAACGAAATTACATTGAATTACTCCTTATATTAAGAAACAAGTTCTGCTAGTTAAGAAATTAAAATTCATCAAAAACCAGATCTCCATTTCTACCACAACAACTGATTGGGACATAAAACTGAAGAACTTCTAACTTTCTTATTTTAAAATTCTCAGCAGAATTTTTATTTTCTAAATTCTGCTCCCAAAGTTTAGTCAGAAATTGTTTCAGAATATTCCAAATATTGCAGAATGAAGGCAAAAATAAATGTAAATTAAAAAATTACAGACCATCAAACACATTGAAAAATTCGATTCTTCATGTTCGAAAGGATTTTAAAAACTTCAGCCAAAATGCTCATTTGAAATTATAGTTTTCACAACATTTCTGAAAATGCTTGTCACAATTTCCGACTACGGCAGGCGATTTTCTAGATTCTCTTACTGGGAGTACTCCTCTTATATTATCACAATTAATTGAACATTGGAAGTCGAAAACTATACATATGCTTTGGTTTTGCACTGATATTAGAACTAAAACCTGATCTATATTGAAATTAGCGATTTCCTTAGAGATCCAACTATTAATACGTAATACTTATGTAAAATGATTAAGCTATATTCTTTCAAGACTGCGCTTCTTTTTGAAGTTACACACACAACCACACACATACATACGTACACAGATTAATGTATGTTTAATGCTTAATGCTTATGCGTATTAGTAATAAATGAAACCCTCATTATACACAATACGTTTCGAAAGCTCAGGTTGAGACTGCAACTAAAATATTAGCTGTGAACATTCAAATACAAATTGTTAGGATTAGTAGTCCGGACTCTTTTTAAATATATACGTAGTACTTGTATATGCAAGTAAAGTAAAGAGTATTCGCAAAGCTGCTGAAACTGTTTAACGCACTCGAATGAGCAATTTGTATTTCTATTATTATATAATTTCTTGTGTATTAGCAACTCTTCTATTGCGTAGACCCTCCAAAATGTTGGCAGTGCCTTATACTTTATTGTAAGGCATGCAGAGGCTTTGACCAACGATTAGAATTTATATACTAACATACACCCCCACTCCATATAGGTTAAGGAGTCGGGCCTTGTCTATTAAAGAGCCAATTGCTAAAAACTTAAAACGCATATTCCCTGTACATACACACATGAAACATGCCCTCAAACTGAACTACCTTCATAAAACTAATGATAAGCCACCCAATGTTCTAGCCCCTAAGCTCTGTACATACCTATACGCGTTTAAGAACTACTTATTAGTTAGTCATGTAAATATTGTTAAATTAGTGACAGAGACAAGTCAGACAAGTCAGACAAGTGTAAATAGCCAAAAGTTTTTATGTTGAAGCAAATATCATGAATTGACGCTGTAATAAACAAAGAGCAGATACAATTGTGACCGAATTCCTTTAAATGCCAAATTATTGTTATGCGGATGCCAGCGTCCGCAAGTAATTGTTTACAAAAGGTAAGGAAAATTCTTTTTATATGAGTAAGGACATTCTAATGCAATTTTAAGTTGTAGAATCTACTGTTTTTTTATTTAATTCCTTTCACTTTAAAGAAGGAAATGTTCGTCCTCAAAAAAAGTAATTATTAAAATCACTTTAAAACGAAAATATTATAATTTTTCAGGGGTTGTTATAGAATAGAATTGCTTAAATATCAGAAATGGTGCAATTATTCCATAATTTAGGGCTTGAACCCAAACTTGTCTTCACAAATTCTACTTCTTTTCGATTATTCTGCCTGGATACTGTTTAGTTTTAAAATGCAACTAAATGTATTGTCCTTAATTTTATTTTTAAAACATATTTTTATTTATTTTTTATTTATGGCTAAGTAAGACGCTTACAATTCTATAACTTAAGATACGTACTATTTATATGCATATATAGTACGCAGCGGGGCTAACATTCAGTTTCGATCAAACGCGCAGCTTTCCAATGGCATTCTGCAGAATCTGGAACTCGGAGTTAATGTTGTTCATCAGATTGTGAATCTGGGGCTTCGAATCCAGCACCTCAATGCTCTGTGTGTAGGCGTTGTAGCGCACGCCAAAAGGACGCGGAATTGAGTTGGCGAATTTGCTGAAGATAGACATCGAGATTTGAGTAATGATTTATAAATCGCATATATATAGTAGTAGTGTGCCTTACATGGTCTTCTCCTTGGCCTGCTCGAAGCTGTCGGCCACATAGTACAGCGGCTGGAACTGGGTAATGGGATACTTGGTAATGCCTGTGACTTCGGGCTCGAAGTCCTTCAGCTGCGGCTTGTCGGTCAGGCAGTACTCGAGTTCGCCATACGAGGACAACAAACCGGCACCATAGGCCTTCAGCTCGCCCTCCTGGCGGCACAGGCCATACTCGACCGTAAACCAAAAGATCTGTGAAGCATAAAGACTTGACGCATGATTCGGCCACACCAACAAATGCAGCTAACTGACCGTAGACAGCTTCTCTATGTAATCATCGGGCGCTCCCAAAGAGGCCAGGCCGATTTCCTGACTGAACTGAGCGAAGGCCGGGTCGGCGAAGAGCGGCACATGACCCAACAACTCGTGGCACACATCCGGTTCGGGGGTATACATCGGCTTGCTAGGATGTCTGATGTACTGAGTGGAGTGGAAGACACGGAAGGCCAGGCCAGCCAAAAAATCTCGGGAGCTCAGCAAGCCAGCAACTGGACGCAGGGTAAAGCCTGTGCAATCTATAGAAGATACACATACATTTTTATTTAATTAGTAGATTTAAATCTAACGCCTTATTAAATGAAAGATATGTGGCCAATAAAATGTTTTAGAATGTCTAATCAATGTCCATTTTGTAATTCATGTAACTCTTGTAATTCATAAACTGCTTCGATGACATTTGTTTGATAATATTTGATATTTGTCCCAATATAGGGTTTCCACACTTTGACAGAGTTGTTTCCAAAAATATAAGTTGGTAATATATCTAACGTTTCCTCATAACTAGGACATTATCTGTGGAGAGGTAATGCGAATTCTGGAAAATGTTGTCAAAGAGATATCTATTTTTAAGTATTTTCATGTTGACTACGAATATAGGCTATATACGGGCACCATTTAGAAAGGGTATACATAAGGAGTAACAAACAATGATCCACAACTTTTTTAGCCTTTCTATTATCTTTCTAAAATACGGTTAGATATGCAGATAATTTTCATGCAAACTTTCCACCAGGAGGTGCAAATGAATCACTTCTTTTGTGATTATTGTAGAAACAACTATATATATCTAATATCTATATTATTATTGGGGAAACTTCCATATTTCTTTTCTATAACAACTTTGACAATTTTCCAACGCTTTCCTTATAATACAGAAAACGTACCTCTTAAAAAGTTGGACACGTCCTCCAGCTGCGGAATGTTGTCCTCACGAAAGCCGCAATTGTCGATGAGCAGGGGGAAAACGTGATTATATTCCCGACACGCATGCGTCTTGTAGAGCTTGGTCAGATTGCGAAAGATGATGCCCCAGGTCTCAATTTCCTCCTTGGAGTACTGGACATGGGGCAACGGCTCTCCATGTTTATAGTTATAGGCGATGTCGGCAAAGTACTTGCGACGCTTGCGATACTCGGGATCGGTGAAGCCCGGATGATCGGAGTCCAGCTCGGCGCCATAGCTTAGAATCTGATTGGCGAAGCGATCCAGATCGCGTATGCGACGTGGAAACCAAGGAACAGCCGTGGCATTGTCCTTGTAGTCGCGTGAAATTATATTGAAGTAGCTGCACTGCTCCTTCAGATCATCAATGGCTCGGCCCAAGTTGCCGGACTTGGCCTCGCACTCTACAAAAAACTCATAGCCGGGCACACGGAGCGAAGAGCGCGATTCGATGTGCAGCAGATTGACGTCGTGCCTCTTGAAAATTTTCAGGGTCTTGGCCAGAACACCGCTGGACAAGGACGAGTCCTTGGGCGAGAAGAGGAGGCACGTGTTGCGCGCCTCCTGTATGTCCACCCCCTCGGCTATATAGGCCGAGTCTTCGATGCGCGTCGGCTGCAAAGAGCAAATCATTAGCGAAGCTATTAGCGGTGCTTATCACGGTTAGAACACATCGATGACCCCTTTGTCAAACACCAACAGCAGCAACAAACAGCCAACAAAAAACCCAAAACCAAAACGGCGCACTTGCTGTTATCAGCTTTGGCCAACCAAGCCGCCTCAAACTCGGACTCAGACTGAGACCGATGATTGACGGAACAGGCGATATAGACTGTCCATCAATCACAGATCTTCTCTGTACACAGTACAGTAAGGCTGGCTGCATATTTCAAAATGGCATTGTAAGCAAGTATTTGTTGTGCAATGCTTTGGGGCTTTGGTTTCAAAGGTTATAGAAATGGAAAACTATTTATTACGAAGCCCTAGTAATCGAGCAGCAACTAAAATTACAGGTGTTGCCACTATTGAAAAGCTATATCGAAGTTGAGGGCTCAGCGCTAACCGCAATGGCAATCAGTGCGTTCAATAACTTTGCCACAGGGTCGCCTCAGTAGTCAAGCGAATGGCCTAGAACTTGTCTATTGAATATTAATTCAATCGAATAAATTGTATATGAATAGTTGCATTTGTAAAATAACTTAAATAAAATTGAAACAATAATTTCCAATACAATTTCCAATACAAAAGCCAATAAATGTCAGGGAAAAATGCACTATAGAATTTAAACCTATAATACAAGTATGTGTGGATTATAAATACTCCTTAGAACTCTATGTACATTCAAAGCTAACACTGGTTGGAGTTTTATTTTCTAGAAGCCTTTCTAGCCTATACACTGTAATTATTGGTTTCAAATGTTAAAAGTGTTCGTAGAACAGATTTTCAGATTTTCCAATTAAAATTACAACCAATAACATGCGCGCTCAACTTAAATTGTTAAGCAATATTATTAAAGAACCAAACTATTTTCTCGCTTGAAAACATTCTTCAAGCGTCCAAATTTAATTTAACGTTTATGCAGTTCAATTGACAGATTTTCTAAAAGCAACAAATTCCAAACAGTACACCATAAAGACTGCAGTCAATAATCTCACTAAAAATTATTTCTGCAATTCTTTAAGGCCAGTAGAACTTGATTTCAAATTAAAATTAGTGTTCAATATTTAAAAAAGAAACTCACAATCTTCGAATTGTGAAAACTGAATAGAACTTGATTTTACAGTTCGATATAAAACATAAACCAACAATAAATTGAGTGACTAGAATAAGAAAATCATATCTATACTCCCCAGTAGAATATGATTTTGTTAATTTCAAGGCTCTCTTAAGCTGATCAATCAGAAATTATACAGGACTAAACTAATTTCAAGTTCACGAAAGACCAAATATTCAATTCAAACAGTCAAATAAAATGACTATTGTCTTTAAAAGAACTTGATTTGCACACCGAAATAGCAATTTTTAATAGCGTATATATATTGTTATTACTGGCCATTAACAATATTTTGATTCACATTCAAGGCTAGTAAAAGTTCACCTCTTGATAGGCCTGTTTAGGCGACTACAATTAATTTGATTTTGTTTTGACATTTGGTTTGATTGGTTTTTTCTTTTTTTTCGCTGCACCAACCTTATCAAAGGAAACCTGGCGTTGGTACATCTCGTACGCCCTTTTATTCAGTTATGCACAATAATTTATGGAGCGCACTAGTTTATGGTTATTAATATTTCTTTGAGCCGGATTCGAAACACAGCGAACAGCGAACGGCGCACGGCACAAGACTGAATTGATTTTTCACTTAATCACGCGCTTAAATAGACTTCGCCTGCTTCGACGCCAACTAGAAGTCTAACCTTACAGATACAGATACAGACGCAGAGCACAAAACATGACAAGAACAAAAGCAATAACGGCGTCGAAACCAGTAAATGCGAACGATTAAGCGAGTGAACAGCATCCATATCGGGGGCAGTATCGAAAGTGAGGTTATCAGTCCATAGCCCACAGATTTGATAGGCCAAGCATCAGCGACCGCATTGTTAATAAGCAGACAATGAGTTTGGATTGCTTATCAATCCCAAAATATAATTCGCACTGCTTGTGGTCGTTAGAGCCATAAATTGACGTATGTACGTGTATTTATATACATAAATATATACTAATATGTATGTATCTGGTGGTGGCTAGTTCGAGTTGTTATTGTTTTTCTTTTTCTAATTTTGTAAAACGAATAACAATTTGAAAAACAAATTCAAATGACAGGTTCCAGCCAAACAAGTTCAACGGCATTTCTCGGCAATTATTTTATAGTAAACAAATTCTATGGGGCTGGACCGAATCTAAATAGAAATGCTGATGGCGGCTGGCACGCGCGGGTTGTTTAAAAAAATAAAAAATGCATATAAGCTGAACACCTGATAGTCCTGCTTATACAAACAAATTGTCTGAGTTTTGGAAAAGCAGTCGAACAAGCTTAAGGTTTGATTGTGTCGGCCTCTCTGAGACCACTGAGCGCTCCGAAATGTGTGGATTGTGTGGATTTTTAAATGTGTGGAGCTTTTGCAATCTGAGATTGAATCTGAATTTCAGACAATCACTTATGAAATGTAATGAGCTCAGCATAAATGCCCGTCGTCTTCAAACTCATTCATTGTTCTGTATGCCACTTAACCCATTATGGGCAAACGGTGAAACATTTTTGATAAAGTAGCTGCAAGTAATGTGACTTTTAATTTTAAAATTATAGAGTTCTTGTTGAATTAATTTCAGTTTCACTGCAATCAGTTTAAGCATATTACGGATATTATTACACTTGTTTTGAATTTGAATGAAATCTGAAGCTAACATTGAGAGTTCTGTTAGTTAACAGTCTTAGTTCTAAGTCGCGCTGTTAACTTGAAATGTAAACGAAGGGCTCTGTGTTAGGTGTAAGCGAAATAATACAGAAGGCAGTTCTTACACGTTTAATAAATTTCGTCAATTTACAACCCAACTTCATTTATCTACCGCAGTTAATTCTTGATTTCAACACCAGTTTCAGAAAATGTTAATATACTCGTACGTATCGAATCGTAATTGTCTCGCCTGGTATTGGCATTCGTATAACATTTTTGCATTGTTTTAAATAACTACACAAACTCTTATTTTCAATTGGTTGTAAGAATTTTTGATTTGAAGATGAAGTTCTACCTTGCTGTGCTCTTGAGTATGTTAAATGATATAAAGATATGTAGAAATAGTGAAGCACTAACAATGTCCACATTCAAATTTCAGCTTCTGCTGTAATCTCTACGATTGCCGAGAACTGCACTAATCTTTGTAGACCGACTTATATCCCAGCTTGTGCCAAGTATCCCTCATGTTTCATGAATTTTGATGATGACTGCATATTGAGACACATCAACTGCTGGCAAAAAAAAACACAAAAGCCAGGTGAGATAATAATATCTTGACAAAGTGATATGTACAAAGTTTATATGATTCGACTTTTTCAAGAATTTAATCTTGTTCATTGGGGCGACTGTAAGCGCGAAGAAACCCCAGTCTGTCCAAAGGATCTGATCAAGGCTCTTGCTGAAAATAACGCGACATGTCATGTTTGTAGCCGTTTAACTAATTCAGTGTATCCCAAGCGTAGCGATACTTAAAGATGAACTTTTGCATCTGTAAAGGTTTATACAAGTAGGCGTATCGAATGGAACTGTTTCGCCTACTATTCGATTAGTGCACCGATTTCTTTGAAATAAACACCCACCAAATTAATGTGTATTTTCGATTTGAAGATGAAACTTTACCCTACTCTGCTCTTGGGTGCGTACATCAAGAAATTGCGAGTTTTGTACAAATTACAAGTATATCTGCAATCAATGCATTCAAATTTCAGCTTCTGCTGCCGTCTGTACGATTGCCACCAAGTGCAATAAAGCTTGCACTTATATTCTACTTCCAGTTTGTGGACATAATGGCATATGTTACAAGGATTTTGGCAATAAGTGCAGATTCCAAAGTAATAACTGCATCCAAAGGGAAGCCAAACAGCCAGGTAGGTTAATGCAAAGGTGTGCAATGTATAGAGTTTATATTTTGATTTCTTCACAAGAATTCGCAATGGTCTACAAGGGATTTTGTAAAACTAAAGACACCCCAGCCTGTCCCCAGGATATTTATGGTTAATGGCCGTTCCTTAAAATAATCTCCATAGCAATAGTTGTAGATATTTACTTCGCGGCTTACTCGACTTCTTATTTTATTGCAGCTGCCGTAGCTGTTGCTGCTTTGACTTATTTCTGTACTCCATTAATACGCATAGACACGATTCTGATAAATGATGCTGTTGAAACTGTACATAAATATATGTCTCCATTTAATAAACTGAAGTTGGTTGCACTTAAAATTTAAACGAATAGGAGGGCCCCATCCTATTAGTTGCATTTGAAATGTAAGCAAACGCGATCCTTACAGTGCATTGCGAAACGTAAACCAACTGATATCCTCCTATTGTTTGCATTATCAATGTAAACAAAAATAAGCTGTTTAACATTAAATAAACAAGCAATGCTTTTGCCTACTGCTCATTTATGTTGGCCTGGTAGATAATGCAGGCTTAGGCGTCGTTAAAGGGCAGTCGGCAACTTGGTTGGAATAAAATTTGCTCCGTTTTGATATTAATTTTGATGGTGAACAGCAAGTAAACAAGTCGGCTTGGATTTAAATGCAAATGTAAGCAAAAAGCAAATGTAAACAAATGCAATTCTAACGGTGCATCCCGAAATGTAAACAAAAATCAGCTGTTAAGCAATATAGTCAAAAAACCGTACATAATTATAATAATTACAATTTTATTATCAGATATTGATCAATTAAGTACTTTTATCGCAAAACTAGTGTACCCGTAGGGTAAAAAGGATGAAAGAGCATGTCCGACCCCATAAAGTATATATATTCTTAATGAGCATGACTAGAGAAATCGATCTAGACTGTCTAGAACTCTAAAACTATAAAAGCTGGAATAACCAAAGTTGGTATCCAGATATTCCTAGGTCCGAGAAAGGACGAGTTAATTGTATTTTTTTAAAAATTCCGGCCACGATTTTTGTATAATAATGCAACATCAGAGAAAATCAAAGTTTAATTTGAACAGTGTTGCAAGACCGAAAAGAGAAAACTGAAATAAACTGAAATAAATGAGTAATACTACTATAACATAATTCTTCATAATTCCCTGAACTATATACGCATGTTAATAAGCTACATACATACATATGTATATGAGAACATTCCGCAGCTAGCAATGACAAAACAAAGATTATCGGGCATACTCGTAATGAGTGGCATGCTGATTGCTAAGAAACTGATGTAATACGCCCCGAAACTTTCATTTATGTGTTATCTGCGGCTCAGCACGCTTCAGAATTCGGAAACAGATTGGAAACGCAAAGTGTAACAATTTTATAGTTGAACGCAGAGCGCAACAACACGCTTTGAGAGAATTTTTAAATTATCGGCGTAATTAAAAATGTTTTAAGTATTGTATTTATTCATTAAAATTGCTTGGCACATAAAGTGCGTAGAGCAAAATAATTTGGCATTTATGTGTGCATCAGAAATGCACACGTAATATTATGTTTACAGTACAGCTCATAAATAAATTAATATTAATTAATAGTTGGCGTGTGGACGCCAGCGGGAGGTGAGGAGTCCGCGCATCAAATTAACCTGTGAACTGGGGCGTTTATTTTTGCGCACGTTCTTGAGAGTGCAGCCCACGGGCAGGGTGACCTGTAATTGAAATGAAGCCGATTACAGTTGGTTGTAAAAGGAAGTGAGGAAGTGTCTAACTTACGGATTGATGAGCCGTCACCTTGACTGGCTCCTGGTCCGGACAAACGACATAGGACTCGTGATCAGAGTGGGAGATTTGGGTGAGGGCCGCAGGTTCGGGTAGAGGTGAGGCAGGGTAACTAATGCTCTCAAATTCAGCTGGTGCTGAGGGAGAAGCGGCTATAGGAGGAAGGTTAATGGTTTTAGGAGTCGGGAGAGCAATATTCTGAGCACTTACCTTTCACATGTATCTTGAAAGTGCAACGTGAGGTTACACCGTCGGTGGTGGTGGCTTCATACCGTATGGTGTGATCGCCTTGGGCGAAGAGCGCTCCCGGAAACTATGGAAGAAACGAATGTTGGACTTGCTAGAAGATCGTAGCTTATTTCACTCACATGAGATTTGTAAATTTTGAGCAGCTTGCCCTCAAAGCGTGGCTCCTCCCACAGCACGGAGCGCAAGTTCTGATTCTCCTTCAGACTGACCTCGAAGGAAGGTGTGCAGAAGCTCCCGCTGCCACCAGCATAGGACACCTCATTCAACAGACTAGAAGTTGGAGCAGAAGGCGTAACTGCTATTGGTGTGGAGTGCTCGATGGTGATTAAAGTATGGCAACTAGCTGTTTGACCTGAAACTGGATCGCGCACCTTGTAGCCAATTTTGTGCACTCCCGCCTGCAGATGGGCCTGCAGTTTAGCAGCCCAGGCCGGATTCGCCTCGACATAACGGAAATCCAAGTTGGTTTGCGGCTTCTCCAGTATCACATGCGCCTTTGACTGTCCCTCATTGAGGACAATCACAGTATTTTGCGGACACTTGATGTAAGGCGCTGGACGTTTGGGCTTGCGTTGAACAATCTTCGATGAAGGCTGCTCATAGCGGATCGAAGGCGCAAACACACTGAATGGTCTCTGCTGCTGCGGTGCACTGGATATCCAAGCCGAGTAACGTGGTCCGGCTAGTTGATTTCTAAACTGATTGATGGGCCGGCAACTCAAATTGTCACCGAAGGACCAGCCATCGCGAGCCATACAGCTGGTAGTAAACACGGTCGCCGGCACATAGCCATTGTTACAGTTCAGGTAACAGCTGGTGCCAAATCTGGAAGCCTGCTGAGTACAGCTGATGGGCAGAATGATGCCGTTGGAAGGAGTTTTCAGCGGTGGGCAAGACGCTATGCGTGAGCCTAACATAAAGCCACTGCCTAGCTGCGGGAATGTCGGTCGCTGACTGATAGCTGAATGTAGAAAAAAGGAAATTAATTAGCTAAACAGATCAGATTCTCTGGATTAAATTTAAAGACAAAGAAAGTCTTCGGGCGTCTCAAATAGCTTAAATAAAAGCAACATTAAATTATACCTAAGCTATACAATAAGAAACAACATCATCAATGGAATATGGTTGATATCCTTTGATATGCTATTAGTTAAACCTTTCCGTGTTTATTTGGATGCAACAATAACCCATACTGGAAAGACTGCCCAAGTTAATATAATTTGCCAGTTCTCAAGAGGAATCGGAAAATTTGATTTAAATAGATTGGTAAATATCCTTAGATAACCAATGACTACTTTCAGAAATAGGACGATGGTGTATCAGTTTATGGATGAATCCACCAAAAACTGAAACTGTGTCAGATACATATCTCTGTTGAATTGTCAAACATTAATCATACTTGTCACACCTACCTAGACACTTGTTGTCCTGACCCTCCCAAACGCCCGCTGCACCGCAAGTTCTGAACTCGGAGCCCTGCAACAGATAGCCTTGGTTGCACTTCACTTTACAGCGAGTGGTGTAGTATCGTTTGCTCTTGTGACGGTACTTGTTGCAGTGCGCTTCACCGTTGACAGGCGCTTGGAATCGAGAGCAATGGTCCACCACCTCTAGGTCCAGAGTACGAGCGGCCACACAAGTGCGCCCATCGAGTGAGAGTGTCTTTCCCGGGCCACACTGGCACTTGAAGCTGCCGGGTTCGTTAATGCAGATGCCACCCACACAGCCGCCATTGCCCACGGCACATTCATCCTCATCGATGCAATCCCGACCATTGAAGCTCAATGTGTAGCCTCGGGGGCACCGACAGCTGCGTCCATCGAGCGATAACGTCTGCTCGGAACCACACTTGCATCTGAAGCCACCGGGTTCGTTAATGCAGGTGCCACCCAAGCAACCCCCATTGTTCACAGCACACTCGTCCACGTCGATGCAGTCGCGCCCATTAAAGCTCTCCGTGTATCCTGCTGGACACTCACACTTGAAGCCGCCCGGCAGATTCACACAAACTCCGTTTGTACAGCCTCCATTGTTTACCGCACACTCATCCACATCGACGCAGTCGCGTCCATTGAGAGCGAGTGTGTAGCCCGTTCGGCAGAGGCACCTGAAGGAGCCGGGTGTGTTCTCACACTGGTGCTGGCATGTGCCCGGCAAGGCACACTCGTCCGTGTCTATGCACCTGGTGGGATCGATGGTGCTGCGTTGGTAGCCAGGACCACAATTGGCATTGCACTTAAAGCTGCCGGGCTGATTAACGCAAACCCCGCTCAGACAACCACCATTGTCCACGGCACACTCATCAATGTCGTTACAATCGCGTCCATTTAGATCCAAAGTGTAGCCAGCTGGGCATAGACACTTGTAGGAGCCATGCGTGTTCTCACATTCGTGGGAGCACAAGCCAGGTCGAGCGCACTCATCCACATCCACACAGTCGGTGGGATCGGAGCGACTCCGTTGATAGCCCACACCACAATTGGCCACGCATTGTTTCCCATCGACTAGGTTGAGACCCATGGGGCAGCTGCACTTGTAACCACCGCGTCGATTGATGCACTGATGAGAGCAGCCACCGTTGTTCAACTGGCACTCGTCAATGTCGACGCAGTTGCCGTCAGCGCCAAGCAGCAAACCCTCGCCACATTCCACGAGAGTGCAGCCTTCGTCCGTTTGTTGGCTGCCCGGTGGACAGCCGACCAGCGCAGGCAGGCAGCTGTGCAGATCCTCCTGCAAAAGAAAGCCAGGCGGACAAGCGCATTCGTAGCCACCGGGCTTGTTGAGGCAGTCGTGGGTGCAATTGCTAGTTGCTTGAGTCGCACACTCATCGATATCGAAGCAGCTCCGCTCGTCCGCTGCTAATTCATAGCCAGGGTCACAGGCGCAAGCGTGTGCACCTAGAAGATTAATGCAAATGTCGCTGCAATTACCAAAGTCCAGCGCACACTCGTCCACATCCAAGCAGCTGAAGCCATCGGGCGCTAGCACATAGCCTATGGAGCAGGCGCAAGCGAAGCTGCCCTCGCTGTTCAAGCAAAGCTGCTGGCATTGACCATTCTCCAAAGAGCATTCGTCAATGTCCAGGCAAGCATGTAACGATGAGTTCAATGAGGCTGACAATGAACGTGATGATAAAGATAATGGAGGTGATGGTAATGAGGTGCCCAAAGCATAGCCTGGCGGGCACAAGCATGTGTACGAGCCATTAAGATTCTCGCAGCGCAAGTCTGCTCCACAATCATGAGCTCCAGTAGCGCATTCATCAATGTCAAGGCAATAGCCGCTCTGCGCATCCAAAAACTCAAAGCCCCGCTCGCACTCACACGCATACCCACCTGGCAAGTTACGACAGAGCTGCTGACAACCGCCATTGTCCAGCTTGCACTCGTCTACGTCTTCGCAGGTGTTGCCATCGTCGCCAATTACGTAACCCACCGGACACAGGCACTGGTAGCCTCCTTCGACATTGAAGCAATTGTGGCTGCACTGATGAGTGCCTGCGGCGCATTCATCGATGTCCAGGCAGCTGTAAACCTCATTGGCATAGCCAGGCGGACACACACAGCTGTAGCTCGTGCTGTTTTCGTTATCGCGGCAGCTTCCGGGTCGGCAGTGGGCGTGTCCATTTTCCCGGGTACACTCACTATCGGCCACATTGCAGCTGTGCAGATCATAGCCCAGTTTGTAGCCTTCGGGGCAGACGCACTCATAGCCACCAATTTCTGTGTTCACGCACTGATGAGCACACCGTGTGCGATTCAGTTGCGGATTGTCCAAATCCTGGCAGTTGTCCCGAACACAGCTACGCTGATCTTCGAGCAAGTGGTAGCCCAGTTCGCAACCACAGGTATAGGAGCCCAAGGTATTTACACACAGCTGCGGACAGACGCGATGCGGCACCGTTTCCTCATCCGCATCGTCGGCCAGCACAATGTCGCATTCGTTTATGTCCTGGCAGGTCTTGCCATCCACCGTCAGCTCGAAGCCAGCTGGGCAGCCACACTTAAAACCGCCCTCCAAATTAATGCACAGTTCACAGCCATTGTGTAAGTTCTCCGCACACTCATCCACATCCAGGCACTGGGCGCCATCAGGCGATACGCGATAGCCAGTGCCACAAACGAGCTGCTCATTTACCCGCACTATCTGTGGCTCCTCTTCCACCTCAATCTCATTGTTCTCTTCCTCGACTGCCGCTGCTGCCGCATCCTCCTTAGTATTCAACGGCAGCACGCATCTATAGGAGCCTGGCGAATTCTCACAGCCACTCGGGCATTGTGCGGCCACATCAGGCTGAGCACACTCATCAATGTCTGCAAGAAATAATAACAGGAGTCCTAGAGAGCGATATGTTTTAGAAAGCGCGATTGTCTTACCTATGCAGTCCTTGCCAGTAGCCGCGTTGATTTCAAATCCTGTCTCGCAGGCACACTCGAAGGAGCCCGGCAAATTGTTGCAGATATGGGAACAGCCGCCATTCGACTCCTGACATTCATCAATGTCTGACATAAAAGAAGAGGGAAAGACATGTTTATTAATGTGTCCTCTTTAGTTTAGTTTACCATGGATCTATTAAAAAATGAACTAATTGATGTGAGATTGGAAAATGAAGCCCGCACATATGTTAATATCGGAATCAACGCTTGAACTAAACATTCATTATTTGTATTCACATATCTAGGAATGAGGGTTTAGATGCAAGGTTTTATTGATCGAGTTGGAAGATATTAAGCCAATTAAGCTAAAAGATACGTTAATATTATTTTAAATCAACTTCCTCATGGTGAATGCCTATATAAATCTCTTTTATTTCATAATGCAATTTAGAAGCCATCTATTTGAAATCAGTTAGATAACATCCGCTTTCGATATCAATTTGGAAAGTTTCAAATAAAATGTCTTAATGATTATGTCTGATTTTCCATCTTCACTAATATTCTCTTCCAAAATCTTAAATTGCTGCGAGCTTACCGTGGCAGCTGGTATAGTCATTTGGATCCAAGGTAAACCCTTCATGGCAGCTGCACTTCAATCTTGGCTCGTTTTCATCTGGGAAGAGCAGGCGCTCGCATTTGTGAGCACAACCACCCAGATCGGGGCCACAATTGTTGTCGATAACGCGAGGCGTGTAAGGATCCTGCGTGGGTTCAACCACAATATTTATATCAGTGATTGCAGTCGGTGGCTCAGGTATGGTGGTGGTGGTTGTGGGGTTCACAGGAACAGTTTCTGTTACTACTGAGGTCACCATTTCCACTTGTGCCTTGGGCACTACTTCCGAAGGTTGCTCCACGGAAGGGAGTTCAGCTGCAAGTTCCGGCTCTGCAATATGCAGAACCACCTCTGGCTCCACAGCAGGTGGCAGCGGTGGAGGAGGCTGCGATGTCTCGACATCAGTTACTGCGGACTCTACCTTCTCTTCCCCATCATCTTCGTCCTCGGTGTCGTATTCGTGAACGGTTTCGTATTCATCGTAGTCGTCGTCGTCTAGTTCGCCTCCATTCGGTATGCAAGCGGGAAGCTCCCCCACCCACTGCTTCGCTCTGCAATACAGGGCCGTGACCTGCGCGTCCTCGAACTCGTAGTTCTCATTACAGCTGTAGTAGGCCACCAGAAATACCTTCCGGCCTTTACGGCGCCGATCGTACAGCGTGACTTGGCCATGACTTATCTCGGGTGCCCTTACATCGGCCTTTATGCAGCTAACATCGAGCAATTCGGCCATCTGGGTCGACACAGTTGGCTCCTCTGGTATATCTAACATTTTCTTTTTGCGATGCGATGCTGCCTCTGCAAGGCAAAATATATTTAGAAGGGAATCGTTTGAGTTCCCTAATGAATCACTTACTTAGCACGCAAGTCGGCGGCTCTGTATTCCATTCGTCGGCATCCACATCGCAAATCAGCTCCTTGGCGCCCTTCAGCTCGAAGCCCTCTTTGCAGCTGTAGAAAGCTCTGTAGATTTCGGTCGTCTTGGAGAGCTCGAAGCTGCCGTGATCCACTAGCGGCGGATTCTCGCAGTCCTCATAAACGCCGTGCGTTGACTCTGAAATCATCGAAGTAATTTATCAAACATCTGTCCGAAATCCCTCACAAACTAAGAAACAAAACCCGCCACCACCCACATTTCAAATCTGTGCCAAAAACTTTTCATTGTCACGTTGTTGTTTGGGCATTTACGATCGGTTTTATGTATTTTTCCTCTCTAGACTTTAAATGCCGGCCGGCTAGGTTATTAAGTGGCCACTTTGTGGGCCAAATTTGTTATGATTCATCGCATTTGTTCGGCGGACGTGTTCCACACACAGTCATATAGAAAATCCAATAAAAAGTTCATGTAGTCACATATACCCATTTGGATCATTAGTTTTTCGTGAAAATAGTTTTAATGATGTTCTGTGATATTTTATGGCCCATTCACATTTTATTTACGAGATGTCCAGGAACAGTTCAGTGAAAAGTCCGCACAAAAATAATGTTAATATCTATTGAAGTGGGGGAAGAAATCGATTATTTCTTTTATTCTGATATCTTGCCAAAGTTTATCTGAGCCTCTATGTATATCTTTGATTACTCATATGTATAATTTTCAAATACTATACAAGTATATACATTGAGCCATTAACAACCAATTATTTTATAAAAGTGATAATCACGTTCTGATCTTAATAAACAACAAGCAACATAAAGATAAGTTCCAATTATAAAATACGATGTGTAGCTTGTTTTTCCTAAAATTCTATTCAATATTGGTACTTTGATCAGAAGTTTTTTTCATTTGTAAAAAAATCAAAAGAAAGTTGAGAAAAATATAGAAAGTATAATAGAAAAGAAAAGTTTGTAATACTCGTAAGTATATAAGATAGAATTTTAACTTCGAAGCGGGAAAGGGTTTCAGAATTTATAAGAACGAATATATTTAATCATTTTCCATTCAGTTTAACATTTCAATTTAGGTCTTTTGATTTAAAAAGGTATTCGTTTTTTAAAATAATTCGCTTCGATTCATTCGCTTGAAGTCCATTGTGATGTAAAAACTTAACATAAGTAAACTATTTACACGTATAATAGTTATTTTTATAATTATATCTCCTTTTTTATTTTCACATTGAAAAACATTCAAAACCTATTTACGGAGTTCAAAATTAATTCGCTATTTACTGATATTTGAAATATATATGTATAAAAACAAAAAAAAAAATGTAGCACCTTGTCAAAATCTAGTGAATGAAAAATATTTCAGAACATTTATAAAAAACATTGAGTCTCACGAATTTAAAATGCTAATAGAATAATTATAATTAGTATATTATAATTAGTATATTCCCCTTCTCTCTGTTCTCTTCAATCTAGGAAATTTTTTTTTTAAAACTCCGCTATGTATAGCAATAGTAAGTACCCTGCATTTCATATTAAAATGTTGTTTTAATTTTAATAACTATTTGCTGTCAACTCGATTTGTCAAACAGCGATTTATTTTTGGATTAAAATCCGCGACTCCATTGGAATCGGCTACTTTATAAATGTCAAATTTTGAAGTCCAAGGGAAAAAATTTGTCAATGTAAAAAAAAACATATTTAAACTGTTGAAATACGATTATTAGAAATATATATCTTTACAAATGTTCAGTATACATTTTAAATATTTCTAACAGAAATCTATTCAACAAAATAAACGAGTATATGTTGTTAAGGGACGTTAAAGCCATGTTGACTCTTGAAGACCCTGAGTAAACCCATTTCCCCACTACAGTCCTTCAACTAAAAAAAAACAATGTTGTAGCAATCAATGCATATACATATATACATATACACATACTAGTTTGCCGATTTTGATGAAACAAAAACAGATTGTGGTAAGGCACTAAAAGAAATATAAAATTATTTTACTTGGTGTAATTTTTTCACCGATATAAAATAATAATACTATAATGGCTTGTAATAAACTTGATCTTTATATGAATACATATGACAAGTCGTTATGGAAAGTTGGTGTGTCTAGCTATTCTAAGCCCTGTCTGTTACGTATACGTGTACATATGTGATCCTTCGGGAACAGGATACATTTATAAATGTCGAAACATCTGAAATTAATTGAAGTTGTTTCGTTGACACTTATAAGTTCATAATGTTTTGTTCAGTTTTCATTTGCTCTCATCCATGATATATTTCGGTCACTCTGTTTGATCTGATTGGATCAGATCGGGCATAACCACAACTCACCAGCAGCAGCGACGAATGCAGCGCAGGTCAAAGCGCATAAAATATAATGGACTGTCAACATTTTTATGTCTTCTAATCCTTTCCCAGACCGACAGCACTCACAGCAATATGCTGTCAGAGTATTTCCTTCGCACCTCAACTCTTTTTTTTGGATTTTTATAAATAACAAGTCATTAATAAAATTTCACTATTTAGAATAAATGTTCATTTTTGAGACGAGTAGGGCGGCAAACTGAAAATACAAAGACACATGTAGCGAGTATAAAAATCCATTTGGATTAAGGATTTATAAATAGCACACACGGCAACACGCGCACTCCAAACTCTTACAGATATATATGTACATATACATATATACCCGACTATATATAGTATGTAAGAACTATTTTCACTCTCTCTTGTCACTTGATGGAAGGAAGGAACTATTGACTTGTTTGTACGTTGGCGAGGTCAGCAATTAAATCGAATTAGATAGGCTCGGTGTATGGTGTATGCACATTTGTATATGTATATATAGGTATATCACTATTGGAAGGATCTGGCGTGCCAGAGAGTAGTAGAAAGAAAGAACGCACCGATCGGGCCGAGTGCCAAGGCAAGACTGAGGCGCTCAAGAAGCGTCTGGCGATGCCAAAGGGAAGCATTTCTTTTTCTTCGCTTTTATTTTGTCTCCAAAACATATATACGTTCATACGCGTATATTCGAGTAGGCTGATGCTGATATGCTGATATATCACGTCCATCATAAGGCAAATTAGTGAGAGAGCGCAGAAGTGCTGGCAGACTGCTGCAGAAGCTGTCTGCCTATTTTTAAGTTGCACGCCGGCTGCATTAGCATTAGTATGAGTATTAGCATTACCGTTATGGGCGATGAGCATTATAATGCTTGTAGTGAGCCCCGACGCGTGGCGATAGTGCGTGGAGCTCGCATTGAACTTGGCCAGCAATTGGCGGCATTATAGCCATGGAACCGATTAGGCGGAACAAGTGGCTGTCAAATACCCTCATTACTCAATAAATGTCTAGAAATAAATATGAAATGTTATTACATAAAAGCCAAGCTGGCAGAAATCAAATGCGCCGCTAACAATTTTTTATGAAGCTATTTGTACGAGTACATATAAAATAAATTAGAACTACTTACATACACACTCAATCAAACGCATACACACACACACACACAAACACACACTCAGCAGACTATAGGCAGCTAAATTGTTTTTAATTAAAATTAAATACATTGAGGGGGAAAAATAAAAGTCGCGTAGGTGTGGTAACAAACGACAGATACGAGCAGAGTCTTGAACTTATTTGGTGCGCTACAAACATGTTTTGTTGTTCTGTCATTGTAGTCATTGTTGTTGCTTTTGCTGTTGTTGTTTAAGCAGCTCAGAACCACATTAGATGCGCCCCATATAGGTGTAGCCAACCCACATTAGCCTCCCCCCCACCACCGACCCCCAACATCGTCCTCCCTTCAAATGGCGAACAAAAGTAAAAACGCGCCTAACTATGTACTCGTACGGACATCATTGCGTATTATTTGTTTTTCGCATTTGATTGACAAATTGATTGTTGTTGTGGCAAAATATTTTAAGGTTATAGCTAAATGGAGCTATTGATTGACCCATTGAATGACTGTTTGGGTGCCTGAGTGACAGACCAATACGCTCAGCGATTTCACACGCTATGCCACCGCGCGCGTTTTAAAACGCACGCAAATCGCTCCAACAATTGTGGGCGAGTTGGGTTTGTTGTTGATTTTCTGCGATATTTATCTTTTTATTTATGGCCTTTGCGTTTTGCCCACTTTGGTCAGTTGCAGGCGATATACTCGAATATTTCTATAATATTCTTAAATAATTTCTTATATTTCTTTGCACTTCTATGCGCTTTTCTGCCACTACGAGCTTTTTATATTTGTATTCGTAATTGAAATGCCATTTATGTGTAGGTTTTTGTGGCGCTGTACTGTTGTGGTGATTGTTGTTGTTGTGTTGTGTTGTGTGGTGTTTGTTGCTCCATTTACATTTAACTTAACCTTAGTTGGCATTTGCGGAAATCGTTCTAAGGCGTTCCAGACTGTCTAGCCGCTTGGCTTTGTCTCTTTTGGGCCAATTTATGTTGACAATTTCGCCTCTAGCGCCGTGTTTGGTTATTGTTGCTGCTGTTGTCCGAGCACTTCCGTTCGAGACAGCGCCAGCAACAAAAACTCTGGATCTACAATGGATTATTTATTTATTAAAAAGCTAAGCAAAATGGAATCTAGCACACGGTAGCAACGTTATTGGCAAATAACCAAAAATAATTAAGATACGGTAATCTAATTGATTAAGATAAGAAACATAAATAAATAGTAAAAAATTAAAGGTATTTAATATATGTATATGTAACTAATAATCCACTTATGCTAAAATATACATTTAAGTAACGATATTCTGATATAAGTCAACAACGATCTCGGCGTAATGAGAATAAAAATGAATATGAGAATATCATTAATTTCCATTTCCATTTTGTTTAAAATTGTAAAATTATTTACTTCTAATCAGCAATTTGAGGAATTCAATTCCGAATTCCGAATGGAAATAGCCCCCAATTAAAAAGGCATTGGTAAAAGCAATGAGAAAAACATAGTAAAATGTTGAATGATTAGGTATATAACAAATAATAATAATAATAATAATAATAATAATAATAATAATAATAATAATAATAATAATAATAATAATAATAATAATAATAATAATAATAATAATAATAATAATAATAATAATAATAATAATAATAATAATAATAATAATAATAATAATAATAATAATAATAATAATAATAATAATAATAATAATAATAATAATAATAATAATAATAATAATAATAATAATAATAATAATAATAATAATAATAATAATAATAATAATAATAATAATAATGATGGGGGTTCAAACCCTAAAACGAGCATAATTTCATAATAATAATGTTGAAAACAAAACTTTATTGCATTTTGGTTTCACAAATTTGTAAATGGTTTTAATACTGTTGAGAACTATGGGCCCATCACATACTAGTTATTTAATTGGATTCACATTGATCCTTCACTTCTTGCTGCAGCATTGATCCTTGGAACCATTCTTGCAAACGCAGTTGCAGTCCTTGTTGCAGGCACAGTTGTCGCCACATTTCTCCGACGAACACTTGCAGTCTACAATTACACGAGGTCAGGGAAATATTTATTTACAGCCCATTAGTATATTTGCAATACTTACTATTTTGACAACCCTTGCAGCCCATTTCGTTTAGTTTGTTTGTTGGAAAAAGGTGAGAATGCTTCACAGCTTTGATATTGCTTCGATGCTCGACTGTTCGCTTTCGAGTCGCCCTCAATCATATTTATAGGCACTGATAGCGACTATTTGTGAGCAAGCCGAGCGCAATTGCACTCGTCTCATTCATTGATGTTTTGCAAACAAAACATCAACTTCGACTGGCTTATCAGTTCGTGTGCAAATCGTGGGACCGTTCCGTACCGTCGTTTATCAATGTTGACCAATGCTTGATGTTGCTGAATGTAACGACGTAGCAAATACACTGCACACGGCGTTGTTATCAGCGGGGAAATAAGCAAAAAAAAAGGCAAGCAAAAAAAGGCTGTGGCGTAGAATTCGAACTTCAAACAAAATAAATATTTACGCAGGGCTTTAAAAATGATTTACTTGTGCAAGGTCTAGTTTGTGTAGCTTTGGAATTGTATTGAATAAATTCTGCAGCGGTAGAGGGGGGGCGAAATTATAAAAATATTTATTCCATTAGCATGGAATTTAAATACACTATTAAATTAACAATGTTAATGAGCGGTCTGAAAAAATGTTGCAGTTAAAACAAGCAGGGATTATAGTAAAAGTGCATCTAGCTTATCTATTTCCTAGCTTATACTTATATATATATATATTTAAATTTAATTTATAAAAAACAAACGTTCATAAAATACTATATACTATACTATATACTATATGCTTATATTTTGTTAGAGCAGAGCGAACATTGACCTCAATATTTGGCATGATAAAGAATAGAACCCTAACATGCCAATAAAACAAATAAGCACAAACAAATGATCAAATCTGCAGATTTGGTTGAGATTTCCTTCTTATCCTAGCCCTTCAACTTTGGTAAGTTTGGTAAGTTGTCTTCAATTTGAAGATTTCTATACCTAAGTGACAAGAATTGAGACCCGTACTGATCCCATTCTAATAATTAAAGAGAGCAAGGAACGAAAAGATTATACATGATTGATATTACTGCCTGGATACGCCAGCTGTAATAATGCCTCCTGGCTAAGGTAATCTTGAAATGTCACCTCCGGCCCAACTGATCTCCCTTCACTTATTGATAAAAATCTAAAATCCGTAATGACTGAATGTAAAGTGGAGTTCGAAACGACAGCTCTGGCAACAATTAAGAACCAAACTGGACTCACTTTGTTAATAAACGAATGCCAGCAAGCTGAAAATGATTAATTTATAAGCTTTTGGCATTTTCTGCCTGCTGAACAGTATTTCCTTTTTATGCTGGGGCTTCAGCCTTGGCCTAGCGTAGGCTGTCATAAGTTTGAGGCTTTAAATTTAAAAATATGTGGCAAGTCTTTCAATAATACAAAATTCGCCGTGCTCGCTCACCAAACAGCCGCAGTACACACAACTCTTCTGAGCCTCGACATCTGGTCCTACCAACCAGATAGGATTCTTAGCTTCACACAAAGGAATACAAATACAAAACGAAACACATCAACGATAACAACAACAACAACTGCAATGCTGCTCTTGGGTGCGCTCTTCAACAGTCTGCTCGCCGTGAGCTCCGGCTACGCCATGTATTCGTTGCATCCACTGGAGAAGCCGTACGGCTTTGTGGCAGCCGCCTTTAGCCTGATGCATGGGGTGCTGGGCGTGGTGCGGGCGGCGAAGGACGACGATGATGAATGCAATCGAGTGCGAGCGATAACTTCGGGGATTATGGACATAGTACCGCTGCCGCTGGTCAACGTTGAACTCTATTTAAGGTCCTCGAATCCCAGCCTGGCCTTTGCGCACGGCTGCTTCATCATACCGCTGGGCTATGATCTGCTGGCGAAGTTGGCCGACACCGATGACAGCTCGACAGAGACGCTGAAAGAGCTGACACTGCTGGGCAATGTCGTGTCCTTGCTGTTCCTTGGTGTCAATCAGTCTAGCAATATGTACGGAAGCATGGCGGCCATTCCGTTTGGCACACGCTACGGCTCCATCATACTCGACCACTATTGGAAAGGCCTGGGCGCCGACTTTCAGCTTCTGGCCAACTCTACATTCATGGTACTGATGGCCATGACGTTGTCCGATAAGTAGACGAGCCAAGGAGCAACACCGACATGTTGACATGTTTCAATTCAAATAAAATTGTGCGAATAAGAAAATAGTTCGATGAGGTGTTTGGCATTCTTTTACCTTACACTGATCGAATCGAACGATATACAAACTAATTTGCTTTATTATTGGCTTATACTCCTGGCAAATTTGGCGAATCTAGATCGATTACTTCTTGAGTTACTTGAGTTCTTTGAGATATATGGATGACGAACAAAACGACTCACCGTTGCATTCTTATAAAGCCCCCCAGAAAGGAATCGTTCAGAAAAATCAACAGTGGAGTCCCGATTGATTTAAAAGGTGTTATTCATTGGGAATTCGTCTCATATCGACAACTCGGTTAAAGCTGAGTTCGATGCTTGTATTTTGAAGCGTTTGGTGCATCGTATTCGGCCTAAATATCATGAAGAAGAAAGTCTCCGTTGGTTGTTTGACAAAGCGACGTCTCATCGGTTGATAATTATGACTGTTTTTTTAATATACCCATGATATAAAACAAACTCAATTTGTACAAACTGGATAAGTTGTAAACAGTCCTGTATACCTTGGATCGTACCTTGTATAATTGTTATAAAAATAGAATCAATCATACTATTTAAAAGAGCATTCTAACTTATTGCAAAATTATTAACGGACATATTCTTCAAATATACAAAGAATATTTTTCACTTGAGATATTCTTAGGTGGGAGCAAAGCAAAAGTAGTATCTCAGAAAATTGTGAGTAAATGAATAGCAAAAAAGATAAATGAAATTAAACTGATTTCGAATTGCAATACAAAACGACTACAGCAATAAAGAATATTTTGATATCATATAAGGTCAGCACATAATTGTTAAGCGAAAAGTTGCATCCTGTAAATCGATCGGCATTGGAAAACACAACACTATTTTAATTAGTTTTTAATAAATATAACTTTTATTTTTATTGAACTAAAAATGTTTTTTTTTTTTTTGGTTAATAACAAAAAAGTCCAATTTGTCGCTTGCAACAATACCCTTAGAATATGAAGCGCTTGTTGTTGCTGTTGTGAACATGATCCTTAAAGTAAGAATTAAAGTATTGTATGTAAAACAAATTTCGTTCGGATTGGTGCATTTGAATCGCAGAATCTCTGATTTGTTCGAACGCAGTGCCACCAACAGGAAAAACTAAAAACAAAACACACGAAACGATCCTCATCTACAGTTAGTTAGTTCTTAATACTCAGATACGACGGTCCCACTTGGCGCACATAGACACTGCGCTCATTGCTCAGATATGGCGGACAACGCACCGTTAGGATGCCGTCGGATGAGAGCTCGGAACGCACATCATTCGGGTAATATCCGCGAGGCAGCACAAATCGCTTCACAATGTGACGACCCACGAAACTGTCGCCATCACGACGCTTCTCGTGTTTCGCCTCCACCACCACTGTATCGCCGGTGGTCTTCACCGTGATCTCGTACGGCTTGAACAGATGCACATCGACGTTGGCCTCGAAGCCATCCTTGCCCACAATAACGCGACTCAGATCCGGCGCAGAGCCCACGCGGGACAAGCGCTTCCAGTATGGCAAGTCCCAGTCGGCCAGATCCCAATCACGCCACAGACGACGCTTATAGTCCCAGTAATCCCAATCAGTGTTATTGGTAGCCGGCACCAGCGCCATTATGTAGTATTAATATATTTCAAAAGATTCGAATTGTATGTATGTGTGTTTGTTTGGCAGGACGCAGCAACGCGTTGCGAATTTCACGCTTCGACGCGATTCAGTTCGTTCGCTTCGTATTGATTCGATTCTCAACGTTTCCCGTTCTCTGACGTCCGCACGCGATATTTGCACTCAGCACATTAAACTCGCCATCGACAGTCGCGGCGGCTTTTATAGGCCCGTGCTCGAGTTCGAGCTCGAGCTCGCGTTCAGCGCAGCTCAGCTGAGCTCAGTTGGAAGCTAAAGCTTCCCAGCAATGACAATTGTGACGTCGAGCTGTTTATCTTGAAAGTGTCGCTAATCGTTGTTGGCTGCCAGCCCGTGGGCCGGACCCGCCACTCGGAACGCAGAATTTGCAACTCAAAGCCATTTCCTTGAGGCCGCCAGTCCGAGTGGGGTGGCACAGCCACTCGTACTGGTGGGCTGCATCTTTGGCAGTTGCTCTTGAAAATTCCGACAAGAACAACTTGCTTGAGGGCCATGTCTATAACAATCGGTATTCAATTGATGAGGAAGTAAAATAAATATGAAAATTTAAAACAAGCTGTGCCTTTTTCCATTTCGCATCGTCAAATTTTCAACTTGGATTTTTGTCAAATCAATTTTGATCATTGCTTACGTCTTATACCGATTGCTGACTCAATGGTTTATGTACATACGTGTAAATGCATGATGAGATGAGTTGATATAGACACGTCCGCCTGTCCTCCTGTCCACGTGTCTGTCATCAAATGAACTCCGAGAACTCTTGAGCCATAACAGCTAGGGACACCAATCTTGTTACTGTACTTTTGTGATATCTATACATAGCTTCAATATATCACATAGTTCCTCTAGGAATGATCTGTGAATAAATAAAAACAGAGTTATCAGAACATATTTGTTTATTATGATAACGGTACCAAAAGAGTGCACTATAAAATTATTCAATTTTTAATAAAAAGTACTTTCAAATACATTTAACATTTTTTCGAGTCCAAAAAAGCTCCGCTTTGAAAAATATAGAATATAGAAAAGACCTAGAATTTGTGAGTTTTGTAAAAACATCTCCGAAGATTGCAAAGACAACACAATTTTGTAAGTATTGGCATTATCCATCTCTACTCAGCTGTCTCCGACTAATAAATTGCCATTTAATTGGCATCTGTGGGGAATGTTTGCAATGGAAAAATTGTGTTTGCAATTTTATAAAGCAATTAAGGAATTTAATTTCATAATAGCTATAACAGATATTGAACCCCACATGCCGACAGTTACTCCAACATTTCAATCAGAGTTTGCTTACCTCTGAGCTAGTATGTTACTTGTATATATTTTTTTGATATCTTTACTTTTTGTTGGAAATACGTTTACGTTCCATCATCTACGCCAAATTAATTACAAAGCGTTTCCGGGCGCAAAGTCTGCCAAACACACACTTATACATAGATATATAGAGCTACCAAATTAAATTTCTTTAGCGGAAATCCGAACAGACAAACGCGCATAATTCTTTTCACTTTTTGACCAAATTTGGTGATGTTGGTTTTTCATTTTCGGTTTCAATTTTGTGCGCAAAGCAGCGCAGATATAAATCTGATTAGATAGGCGGATAGACATACGCACATATACATATGTATATACAAGTATTTATAAGCAGCCAGATTCGCATGATAGATTATATGGACATATTATATACCCATATGTACATACATATTTGTGTGTGTGTGTGTGTGTGTGTGTGTGTTATGACAAAAGGCAATTTGTAAGCGTGGCTGCTAAACGGCTTTGCTTGTGCGATTTTCGTTGGAGATTAGTGAAAATAACAACAACAACAACAACAATAATAGCAATAACAAGAGACATCGACTCGACTGCGACATCGAAGCGGCGTCAACATAACTTTTATGGGCCTGACCTGCCCACGGCAGCCATGACGACACACACCGCTGTGTATGGGTGTGTGTGTGTGGCTGTGTGTCTGTGTGTCTGTGTGTGTGCTTTGCACCCATTCTATAGCTATAGCCACCCATCGGTAATTTAATTTCCTACTTGCTGTTGTTGCTGTACTTTATGTATTTTGCGTGTATTTGGTAATAATTACAACGACATCGCAGCGATTTGCATGCCAAAAGATTAAAGCGAACCGCTTTGTCTGCCATTCAGTGCATGTGTGTGTGTGTGTGTGTGTGTGTAAGCCTTTTCATTTATGAAACATGTTGGTATTGGCGTGTGCACAACATGAGTTCAATGGGTTCTGATTTTGCCTCTGGGAAACTTAGCAAACAATGCACTATGCTGGGCAGAGATATAGAGACGATAAATTGCGCATGTGAATAAAACATTCCAATTAATAATTACAGCAAGCTATTCAAGACGGATCTGAGTCATTAAATTCACTTCAATTACAACACAATATTTTATTTTGGAATAATTAATTCGAGAAAACTGCAAACGTACAATTATTTCGATGTGAAAAAAACCATCTGTTAGAAACGGTGAGCCTAATAAAAAATATGAGGTGCAAAGTGTATTGGAATTTCTTAGTCAAATATTTTCTATTTAAATATTGCTTTCTAAAAAAAAAATGGCTTTAAGTAACACTGATCTAAAAAACACTCCTATATTTGTAAAGTAAAAAGTAAATTTTGTTTAAGAAAGTCAAATGGGCCTGGCAAAGCTAAATGAACTAACAGGAATCCCAGTATCTGAGTTCGTTCCTAAGCGTGACTCGACTCGGATCACGGCGCTATCATCTCTAAAGAGCATGACTTAATACTTAGCGTTAAAATTTTACAAGAGTGGCCAATTTATAAATGTTGATATTTCTGTACCCGTAGAGGATAAAGGGAACATTAGGTTTATGCGAAGTATGTAACCGGCAGAAGAAAGCACTTCCGTATTTAAATATCTTTTTCAGCATAACGAGAAAAATCGTATCTGCCTGGATCAACGCCCGGATTTCGGAAACGGCTGAGCCCACACTGGCAAAACATAGTGTGTAGACTTTTTTTCTATTTATATTTTCTAGTTCTCATAATAATATTCCTTCTAAATATAGAGCTAAATACCAATTTCTTGTTAAGTCTGGCACTTTCGTAAATCATAATGAGAAGTTCGTTTGGCTTTTCAAACACAACTTTGATTTTATCAACTGTATGGATGATGTAGAAAATTTACTGCAGTTTGCATAAATTTAGGCTATAAGTTTTGTGCCTTTGACATGATTTTAAGCTCCAAAATACTTTTAACAAAATAATCAAAAGTATAATTTATGTCAGTGGCTCGCACACTAATTTTATAAACGATGCTATAAATAAATGCGAGGAGGCGCGCATTAAATTCAACATCATGTGGCAGCTTCGTCATCATCGCCATCCCATACTATCATCATCAGCATTCTCATCATCATTATTAGCTGGGCCATGACGCATCGCATTCGAATGTTGTGAGTTGTTGTGCAGTGTAGACACGAAATGCGCGCGAATCTTGTTTTGGAATCAATGAGTGCCGCAGCTGTTGACTACGGACAGCAACAATGCAACAATGCTGGGCAGATAGTGGCAATAATGCATTGTAATTATAGTAAAACAATTTTATAAAATGGCAATGCCAGCTACAACAAAGCATGCGATTAATTTGTTTGATTTTATGGAAAAATCAAATCAAATGCGACCGAAGCGTCGGGGTGTGGGTCGCACTTTCTTTACCTTATCTATGTTGTTGTTGTTGCTGTTACACAAGCACCCCTCTAGAAATGAGCTTAACTTGATTTGCTTTCTACAGCCATAGCTGTGTGTATATATGTATGTGTGCACCTTGTACGAGCATACTGCTCATTTGCATCCACCTACCATATGGTCGGCAATTACAGGCACGCGTCGCAGTCGCGTAAAGAACAAAACAGAAAAATGTTTGCTGCAGCAATACGGCAGCTGTCGGCAGCTTTGTGGCGGCCACAATTACAGTGAACTCTGCTTCTGGAGACAACCAAAATAACCAATCCAATTTATAAATAAAATTTGAGTAATATTTAACATAATGGTAGAAGGTAAATGTATGATCACCGCAATGGGATTAATTGATATACAGTTTGGTCGATATTTGTTCTAAGCCGTAGCTTTAGAGACACAAACATTGTTTGTCAAAAGTTTTATATTTTATATAGCTGACATAGGAACAATCGTTGTATGACTCTTTTTTTTTTGAAAATGGCTCTTCTTTTCACAAATGATTAACTTCACGTTTATAGAAATTGCGGGCAACTTTTTCTTAATACATGTATTTACAACTACACTGCTTTACTAACAAAACCAACAACATACTATACAGTTGTAATACCACTCTGGTTAAAAACAGTTTTGATTTTTTTTTGTTATTTATCGTTTTTATTAAACTTTTTAAAAAGGTAATTTCCGTTTAACAAATAGGGAGTAACCGTACTTTTAATTTAAGGGCTTACTTAATAATTACACAGGAGCCTTTGATGATGCTTCACAGGCTTCACTGTACCATTCTCATTTCACTTTAGATTTGTACAATGAGATGTCTTTGTCATTCGATTGTTTACGAGCGACCGGTGCTGCTTGTTGCTCTAGCCACAAATTTGTCAAAATGTACCTCGACATCGTCGGGCAAAGTGCCAGCGGATCTGAGGAACTCACCTCAGCCTTAGTGTCAGCCTCAGCGTCAGCATCAGCATTGTTGTTGGGTAGCAGTTTGCTTGATTAGCGCAACATTTTCATGCCGTGTAGACTGTTAGTTTTATTGGCGCAGCATCCGAAACACCTCCGCACTCGACTCGACTCGACTCTACTCGACAGGGGCTAGTTTATTGCGGCTCCTTGAATTTATTGTTATTGTTGCTAGCTATAAAATAGTTTAAATCATTTTTTACACATGTGCGTGGTCTCCGAATTAATGGGCAGCCAAAGACAAATACATGCAAGTGTCCATGTTCTTTTTATCGAATTGTATTAAAACACTTATGAAATGTTAAACCAACTAAAGCCGCCAGCAAACAAGCGACTGCGGCCAAATGACATTTCTAGTATCAGGCTAATGGGCCGAATGGCATTCGAAAGGTATTAGGGCTGTGAGCGCTTTCAAAACAGACCAGGCCAATGCGCATATTTCTACAATAAATATAGCAAGTAAG